CAAGAAAAGGACAGAAAGCCGCCCACCTTGTGGCAAGAGTCCCCGATCCTTCAGCCGATGCCCTTCCCGGAGCATCCCCACCGCGTCCATCGGGAGAAAGTTTCGGACGATCGGGAGCCGCCGAACGGGGTGCCCTCCGGACACTAGTAGCAGGGCGCCGGGGCTTTGCCCAGCGTCCGAAACTTCAACCCCATCTCTAAACCCCCCGTCTCTCGCAGATCTTTGGCTGACGTCAGCAAAATGGGCCCCTGTTTTGGCGTCCAGTATTTTCGACTCTAATCTGAGGTTTACAGGGTTGGAATCGAGGCTGGCGTTCGAGATCTCGGTGGCCGTTGCTTGCATCTGACAGCTGACATGCGCGCGGGACTTGAGCTGCGCCGCGACGGTGCGCACTCGGAAGAAGCCTGCGGGAGCTTGCGCGGGCTTTTCTGCGAGCAAGGAGTCGCAAATCGTTCCGTCCAGATTGTGTTTGAACAATTGGTGTGACCACAAGGTGGACGTTGATGCTAGAGGAAAAACCTTCAAGAATTTGACTGCAGCAGATTTCAGAATCAGAGGATGTCATTCCGTGCCCCAGCAGGATCTTTAAGCTGTGTAGAGTTACCATTTGAAGCAAGATTCGGTCAGGGAGATTCGTGGATGGAGTCAGAGGCGGCGTCTGACAAGATACCTGGCACACTCATCGTGCTGTGTCTTGCCATGTGGTGACGAAAGGTCTAGCTTCAAGCTCGTAGCACAGACCAAGAGACCAGCAGGTCCGTACGAGCAAGAAAGCTCTCCGAGCTAGTTGAAACAGCCCTTTGCCCTCTTTTTAGAGGCTCAAAAGCAGCAAAGTTTGCTGGGTCAGTCACCCGGCGCTTGACTGCCACCTTGCCGCCAGATTCGAGCTTTACCTGTTAGATCCAGGTTTTCTGCCAGCCGCTCCTGCGGCGCCGCCCCCAGCTTTGGGAGCAAATCTGCAAGGTTGGCAATGCTCGGCAGATCGGGCATCACAGTCGCGTGAAACTTGCCGGACGCCCAGATCTGATCCCAGGACGCCTGCAGAAAAGGAAGGTCAAACTTGTTAGACAAGGTTGCAAATGACGAGGCATACTGTACCTAGTCTTGTCAGTGTGCGATGGAACCATGCATGAGGTGTCACTGTGCAGGCAACGCAGTGTGAAGTGCCAATCAGATAATACATTCTGTAGAGGCAGAATTCTTGTGTTCTCCTTTGTTTGAACTGAACTTGAACGCTTCTGGGAAACTTACAAGTGGTCCGAAACTAGGACGAAAGCTCCTGAACAAGTGATAGTCAGCAAGAGCCATAACATGTATGCTGTGCAAGTTGTTGGCGGCAAAGAAGTTGTTCTGAAGTGAAGCAACTGGAGAGCTTCCACCTAGGCAGTTGTTGCAAAGGATCATGGAAGACATGTTGATTGGAAGCACAATCATTGGCTTACTCGGAGAAATTAGGACCACCACCACCACGCCGGGAAGAAACGGGGATCAGATGGGATTGAATCAAAACCGAGTGTTCTGTCCAGACAGCTGGGAGAATCTGTGGGACACAAAGCTTCATGCAATGCTGTGAAGGACACTGCAAAGAGACCGAAACAGTGGGCCAATCGCACAAAGAAATCAATCCAAACTTGAAGTTGCGGTGAGGGAGTTGTAGAATGGAGCTCGGCACCTGCTTCTGTGGCAACTCTGGAATGATTGCGTGTGCTTTTTGAGATACCTCCAGCGTCCTGATCAACTTCCCCTGCGGAAGCTTATCTGCTGCCAGACACGATCGCGCAAGCCTTGCTGCAGCCATCTAAGCTCTGCAAGACCTGAAGGTGATTGATTGTTTCAGAAGCTCTTGCGCACGCTTGTCGCATTCCACCACTATCAACTCCGCTTTCTTGTATGTTGCGTTGCAAGCCTGGCTGAACGGGCGCTGAGCTTCATGCAGCTTGCGGACTACACCTCAATAAGAGCCCAGGAACTCCACCTTGCGCCACCACCATCTATCTCTGAAAGGCGCCACTTGCGCGGACTGAATGCCTGGAAGGTTGTAGAGATTATGTAACTGTCTTGTCTTCAAGATGCCTGATGGATGGATTGAAGGGATCCCGGGCGGCATTTTGACGCATACATCTTGAACTTAGTGCACGTACCTATATCATAACTATACGTGACTACTGTATGTTGACACTCATTTCTTTCTGGATATAAAACGATCAAACCGAGGTGAAAAAGTGTCAAACATCGTGACGGAGACTGGTCACGTTGGGTGCCATTTTGCATCCCTGCAACAATACGGAAAACCATGCTTCGCCTCAGCCTCAGGTGCTGCCCATCTCAGTCTGCCATTTAGTTCTGAGAATTTGAAGTTCAAGATTGTTCTGTACGCCTTTCCAGGAGACAGAAAAGGCTTAGAATTACTACGTTCTTATCTGCTCTACTTGCCGTCGGTGGCCCCTTGCAACCTGTGTTGAGTTGCTCTAGCCTGTTGAAGCTTTCTGTCTGAGTGAAAACAGCTGGCGCAGTGCACGTGGTTGTGAATTGTCCATTCACTCGAAATTGAAAGTCCCTTAAGGCACCTTCATTGATACCTTCTGCTGCAGCAGGTTCCTAAGATCCGTACACAAGCCATTGCAACTCAGGAGAGGTTCATGATGGGACCACCTTGGCGTAGGCCGCACAAACCCCTAGAAAAGCCATGGGCCTCCTAGCATTCGCTCGCGAGCTGGTCAGGTTCTTCTACGCTTATGTCAGCCTGCCCTCACAAGCCCCAATGCTAGGTTGGATGCGCAAGGGGTCCCCCTCAGAGGGGCCCGGGTTAAAGGCGCAGTTTGCAAAACTACAAGGGTTTCACGACCTCGCCAGAGACGTGATCCGGCGAGGGGTGGAGTGCGACAGCAAGAAGCAGGCCAACAACGCCGCCAGCTTCTACCTACGGGGGCTGGAGGTTTTGCAGGAGGGGTTGAACCTTCCAATTGCTGCAAACATCAATGGTTCCGACGAGGTGCAACGGCTCGTGGACGCAATGCAGCGGTGGAAGGTCCAGGTTACGGAGAGGTTAGAGTCAGTAACCGGCGCCAAGCCCTCGGGGGCTAGTAGCGATCGGCCATCCCCTGCCAGCTACGCAGACTGGCTCGCTTCAGGAACAGAGAAGAAGAAGAAACCTGCCACCACACCGCGATCTACTTCAGGCCCGGCATCGGTGCAAAGGACGACATCAGCAAATGGCAGGGCGGCGGCGCCACCGCAAAGGAGGGTGATGTCATCGGGAGGTTCTGTTTCAGCGACTGGGGGCCAGAGCAGGGCGGAAGTGAAAGGGGTGCCGCAGGACTTGGTGCGGCGAATAGAGGAAGAGATTGTGGACAGGTAAGCTGGGCTTAACGATAGGTCAGGAAGCGTTGCTTGAGAACTGGTAGCGTTTTTTCCGAAGGGGAGTGAACTTGTTGCCAAGACTCCCTTCTGAAATGATGCGATTGAAGGCTATCTAGGTGCCGAGACAGCGTAACCCGACATTTGCTGTGTTTGGTGTCCACTTTTCAAGGAGAAAACCTGCTTGTCTACAACCTTTCATTGACACTGTTGGAAGTCTGAATTGCAAGGGAATCGTTAAAAGGAACTCTGCTCATCTCATCTGCAGTACGGGCTCTGTGAAGTGGGACGATATCGCAGGGCTTCAGCAGGCTAAGAACACCCTCACCGAGATGGTGCTCCTCCCAACACTCAGGGGGGTGAGCCGCCAACTGCCTGTCTGTCTGTCGAACGTCACTCGTCAAGTTGCGAATTATTTGGGAGTCTGATGAACGTCTGGTCTCAAGGTTGGTTCTGCTTACAACAGAACTTTTGTACAGAGACGCAACAGCCAGTGGATTGGCGAGGCTGCAAGACTCAGAAACAAGATTGTGCCCCCAGTCCAAACTCATCCCCCTGATTCTAACCTATGCAAGCTGTAGATGCATCGCTACATGGCGCCGTCGTAAAGCTAGCTCCACGAGCAACGCAGCTGCCTCGAGCAAAACCTCATTCCAACTGCTGACTCGTTACTAGGATGTCACTTGTAGTGCTTTGAATGAAACCTCCTCCGGAAGGGGACTCCCTTTACGTTCACTCACCATGCATCCAAATCCGATATGCAGGATCTGTTCAAAGGGCTTCGGGCGCCACCCCGAGGGTTGCTTCTCTTTGGGCCTCCAGGAAACGGGAAGACCATGCTGGCAAAGGCCGTCGCAGCGGAAGCAAAAGCGACTTTCTTCAGCATAAGGTGAGGTTCAGCGGAGCTATGGTCCTTTGCCGCCTTGCTTCGCTGACTCTCATCTCGCAGGAGGAGTGGTAGCCCTCTTCCCAAGGATAAAGATGAGATGATTTTCTCAGCTTTTGATTTTGCGTCACAACTCGGCCAACCATGTTCTGTGCATTTCAGTCCAAATGAACTTATCTTTTGATTCTGAGGCGGCTAGAGCTAGGACCAGCTGCCCAATCCCCGAAACAATTCGCCAGGAACATTGTCGACCAATTGCACCCATGCTTTGCACTGGACTTTGCAACGGCAAGGTAGCCCTCGACCTGGCCCAAAACACACACTTTATGAATCCATCTTCTTTCCATCACGTTGCGCCTACTTCCTCTACGGAAAGAGTAGATTCGATCCCGCTTTTCAGAGCGCTGTGTTCTCAATGTTGCTCCTTCGCCCTTGCCCTTTTTCTGGATTCCTTTCTTCTTCTCGTTTCTTCATGTTTTCAGTACGAGAAGGCCTCATTTCCTGCCCGCTGCAAAGTGGGTGGGAGAAGCGTAGAACGCTAGCACGGGCGCATATCCAACCACGTCTTTTCTTCTCGACCAACCATCTCCCTTCCTAACCGAGTTGGAGCTAAACGCTAAGCCTCGCTTTAGCCAGTCCTGCGCCCTGACTCCAAAGCGGGTCGCCTCAATGCTTCGAGCGACTGTCGAACTTTCGTTTTCGCCAGGCGTACAACTGATGATCGGCGTGATTGGCACAGCACCATGTTGCTACCGCCCATCTCTCGACCTCGAAAGAGAGACGTTCCAGATGCGCTCATGTTGAAAGGTTTTGCCCAATCTGGCCCGAAACCCATCCGGAACCCTGTCCTAATGCCGTTGGGCTGCCCATGGCTCTTTCTTGCAGGCTGAAAATGTCCAGTGAAATCTGAACAGCTGGTTCAGTCATCGTGAACACTTGCGATCCGCCTACGAAAGACATTTCCTTGTCTCTTGGATTTGAGGGACAGTAAGCATTCGGGGTAATAAGCCCCTAACACTAGAAGCTGACCCTCGATTTCATCTGCTCCGCGCCCCGCATCCACCTTAAACCTCAAATGTAACCGCACCCGGCCAGGCTGGCGAGCTTGTTCCCTCTAACCCTCGATTTACTGAAACCGAATTCTCAAGTAACCATTTTGTTCGCAGCGCTGCGTCACTGACGTCCAAGTGGGTGGGCGAGGGCGAGAAGCTGGTGCGCGCGCTGTTTGCGGTGGCCAAGCAGCGGCAGCCCGCCATGATCTTCATCGACGAGATCGACAGCATCCTGTCCGCGCGCTCCGCCAGCGAGCACGACGCGAGCCGGCGCCTGAAAACAGAGTTCCTCGTAAGTTTTCTGGTTCTTTTTTCACTCTGACTTATCATCCGTGAACTATTGCCCCAAGCCGCACTCTGGTGGCTGAAAATTGACTTTCTAGTGGATTCCTGGGGGGATCTAGACTGCTACTCTATCTCGTTGTTCGTTTCCATCGCCCGAGGCTGCGGTTCGGCGAAAGAGGTCCCTCTTAAAGTAAGCGGGAAGACGCAAGCCGGTGGTTGCAAACAGTAACTTTCTTTGGTAACTTTCTCCATTTTTTTCGGACGTATCTTGTTGTTCGTTTGTATTGCTCAAGGCCGCAGTCCGGCCACTGAAGGGCTTACGATAGAACAACTTGGAGAGGACGTGCGAGCCAAGTATTGGTTATTTAGGCGAAGCGTTTACAGGTCGCCGATGCACTGGTGTGATTCAGCGCGACTGCCGCCGACTCTTCGAGCAAACCGTGGTTCACCTGCTACTTTCGCGACCTGCATCCCCAACTTTGGAAGTAATCTTGCTTCCTGTCTCATTTGCGGCGCGTGATCCGTCCGCTTCTCGTGGTACGTCCAGCTTGGCTTCTTGTCACTGGACAAACCGCGTGCAGAGTCCATGTTCAGTAAGCAATCGTCTCTATACGGAGCATTGCGGAAGAGAGTAAAAAGCCTCCGAATCCAATCACAGGAGGTCTAGCCTAGATTGTAGCGAGCAGTGTCGTTGGAGCCTCTCGAGCCCTGGGTATGTTCCCTTGTTGATGGCTCGTCTCTGGTCATCGCAGGTTCAATTCGATGGGGTCATGTCAAGTGACGAGGACCGGATAATCGTTATGGGTAAGCTCCCGCGCCTTCTCCCTGTCCAATTTGTTTCCGCAAAGTTTGAAGCAGGCGACATTTGCAGGCATTCTTGGACCGACAAGGTCTGAGGGTCCCTTTGATTTCCTCCGTGCTTCCGAGCGGGGCGCTCCGACAGTCTTCGAATGACTTGTCTCTCACACGAAGAAGCAGAAGACTGCTATCTTTGGGGCTACATTAAGGTCTTGTTGACCTCCTCTTCTTTCTTCTGCCACAGTCCTTGTCCTTCTGAGTAAGCGCTCTGACACCTTTCGGACGCTTTGAAGGCCTCGGTAGAGAACCCTGTGCGATCAAGACATGCTCGTAGATACTCCGCAGAGGAATTGAGTTTACATCCTACGTTAGCTAAGTGAAGGCGCCGCAGAGACATCGAGCCCTGACAAAAAATCACCGCCTGACAGATTGCTAAACGGAAAAACAATAATTCGAAGTTTCAATTGATGGACGATGATGGGAGTATTCAGGTCAATCACTGGCAAAACGCCACGTGTCTCTCACAACAGGTGCCACGAACCGGCCCGAGGAGCTGGACGAGGCCGTGCGGCGCCGGCTGGTGAAGCGCATCTACATCCCGCTGCCGGACGCCCCCGCGCGGCGCGCGCTGCTGGACCACGTCCTGCGCGGGCAGGCCGTCCGAATGTCCGAACGGGACCTCGCGCGGCTGGTCGCCGAGACGGACACGTATTCGGGGAGCGACCTGCATGCGCTGTGCAGGTGGGAGGCTCTGCAATCTAATTGTGCGCTGACGTTTGTCCCAATGCGGTGGTGATTGCGACTTGGGAATTGCCCTTGACTGCGGCAGGCGTCCTTGTTTGGATTCATCGAAGCGTACTCGTCTTGTTCCAAATGTATTTAAGGCCATGCTTACAAAGCCTGGACTTCAAGGGGCTTTACTTGCTGCACCAGTGAACCAGTGAACCTTGTTGCACCTTCTCATCAGTGAATCCGTGTTGCGGTCAATCTGCATTAAGTAACAAACGACTCATTCAAGAAGCAGATGACAGTCGCGGCTGCATCAGGAATTCACTTTCAACGCGAGCTTCGTCTGCTCCCATCTGCAGGGAAGCTGCTATGGAGCCAATCAGGGAGTTGGGAAGCAGAATAACGACGGTCGAGTTGGACCAGGTTCGACCTCTTGTATATAGCGACTTTACAAAAGCTCTTCGTGTTATAAGGCCTAGTGTATCAAGAGATCAGCTTCAACGGTATGAAAAGTGGAATCGAGACTTTGGTTCCCTGTAGAGGTAACATTGTCATCGATCGAGTCAAACATGGCCAAGAAACAAGTATTTTAAATATGTAATTGAGCACTGTCAAGTTTTCGAGCTTCCAAAAGTTATCCTGAGCCACGCCTGTAAAGAGTCAGGCGGTGCGCGATACGAGTGCTCTGGGCTTCGAAACCTGTGGTCGCCCAAGCTCGTTTTCTTCTTACTCAAGAAGTCGCGCGGCAGCTGCCGTGCCCGCAGCTTATTCTGCCCTCTCGCAGCCAGTCTCGCCGCCGGCCATGAGAGCGTGTGGGGCTAAGCGTCTTGAACTGTATAGAGCTTCTGATGCAAGACTCGTCAAAGCATCATACTCGAATAGTGCATCCTGATTTGAATGTCGGATCCTGGACTGATATCCTGACGGTCCGACTGCGGCATGAGTCTGCCTAGGATGTAATATGAGAACTCTGCGCCGCGCGGCCGTAGACCATCAAAGTCGACTTTCATGCGCCAGTGACGGCGTACGCCTATCCAGGTGCACATCGAGATTACAGTGTTGCGACACGCACGCTGGTAGGCCGCTGTGGGTCGAAGCTTATAGCTGCAGCATGCTAGGATCAACGTAGAAGATTTTGATCGACGGAAAGCTCGTGCATCCATGTCAAGTGTTTATTGGATTGATGGAACGCGAAGCTAGACTCAATATAATTCTTCACTTCGACTGCAGTATTCGTCTTCGTGATGTAGATCTTGCGAGCCTGCCTGCCAGGCCATGCGGGCAACACCGCGAAGCTCAGGCTTGAACTGATCGGACGTCTAGTCCTACCCTTCATCATTGCTCTCATATGCATATGAGCACTGATCGGATGTGTGGATCGATCGCGCGTAGAACTGTCCGGCCCACATGATGCTCCTGCGCTGTACCATGTTTACTTGATGATGATCTCAAGACCAATGATGCAATTAATTGCCTCGCAAATTATCATATCGAGCTTAGCTCAGTCTCAGACGCGCAACACTTGAAATAAGTTGTTCAACCCCGCATCGTCTAATTTCTCAACTTCGTTGAGTCCAACAATCTCGGAGTGTGGTTCCTTAGGCCACAGTGTGATTAGGCTGCGGCTGTCGACCTCTTAGTAAATGCACGTGATGTTCACACGTGGCGGACACGCTTGCGTTGCCCTTGGCCCAGGTTCAGGCCCTTGAAGTGACTCGCTACGTACTGACCGGGACTCACTAGACCGCCCTGATGAAAAGCTAAGTTCTCTACACCGCTCTCTAGGTATCCCCCTGACTTGAACATGTTTGGCCTGGGGGGTTTGGGCGTGTTGGGTGACGTCGGCAGGAGCGCGTTGCTCGCGAGCGGGCCGTCACGCGGGCTGTTCCACAGGAGGGTATGGCTGGAGGGACCGGGGGATAAGTCCCACTGGGAGATCTCAGAAAGGTAGACGGCCGGGGATCGTTTCCCCGGGGTTAGAGGCGGCGGGCTGGCAAGAGAGGCGTCGGGCCCCTCCTCGTAGACTGGGGTAGGGAAACATTACAACCATCAGTAGTGCGCTTTGAATCTTTGACCCTGGTTCAATGTGGAAAACATTCTCTCAGCAGGTGACGAGGAATCAAGTAGTATGCTGCTTCAATCGGAACTCGACGCGGTAGTGTCGTCCATACGCAGAAAGAGACATTCCTTTGTACACAACCGATTTGGCCAAGCTTCGAATGGGGGCGATTCTAGCCCTCCCTCAAGCTCGATATTCTTTAGCCTATCTTTAAGGATTGACAAGATCTGCAGCGGTCTGAAGAGTATGCTTACTACCCTGAAAGACCGGACTGAACGTCTGAGGCAGTCTAAGTTATCCAGAATGCAAAACGTGATTTAAGTCTGAGATCACACCTTGGCCAGACAGGCTTCTCTGAGACGGATGAGCTCACAGAGCTCCGAGACGACTCCGCAATGGAAACATTTCGAGGATTGGTCAGTACAAGCGAGTTCGCGCTTGTTTTCTTACCTGTCTCCATGGCATGATCACCGTCGTGCCTTTGGTAATCATCAAAGCGACTGTGCGTGCATGATTGGAACGCGGCAGCCAGTCTGCTCTTGTGATGAGAGTGTCTCTGGCTAGAGACCCCGTTGATGTAGTCTCCCAACGTGCACAGCAGCTCTTGGAAGGTTCTCCTGTTTACGGAACAATGAAGTCAAAGTCTTTCCAGAATTCGTCGGTTTCCAGGTACCTTCAAAGTTGAGTGAAGGGGCAGTTTCTCCTGCCACAAAAAAAGTTTCAAAACTGCAAGCCCCTGTCCGGACCAACAAGGCTCAAGCTGCTCACTCCAGGAACGCAGTAATGATTCAGAGGTGAAGATAAAAGCGGTTCCTTTCGGCAAGAGTTATTGCGGGGCAAAACACGATGATCCTCATTCTCATGATTTGAGAAGACGTCAAAAATAAAAAACTTTGTCAGAAAAGCAGCAATCTGCTCAGCACAAACGATTTTTTGTTGTCTGAGAGGTCTGCTCCCGAGTTCAAGTTTCAAGTTGACTTTGCAGACTTTTAAGCGAAAAAGTAAGGGATCCTGGTCATGAAATCTAGCTCGACAGAAAACCGTTCGGTTCCCTTGGACGAGGCCTGCAGATACCCAAACCCTTAGCTTCTTAACTGCTTGGGAGGTCACACTGTAAGGGTCATGAATGACACTGCTTCCTTGTGCGCAAGAATCTTTTCATAAATCCTCTGGTTATTCAAATCACCAGGATTCCAAATCACCTTTTTTGGCTGGGTGACAATCTCTAGGACCCTTAAGTGCACATTGAGCTTGAGGTTTTCGGCAAACTCCTCAACCTGACCCGTAGGTTTTGGGGGCTCGAGAGGAGTTGAGCTTAATTGTCCGGATACTATGCAGTCTGAGCATCCAACCAAAATGCTGCCTGGTAAGCTCCAGAGTGCCACACAAGAACTCCAAGCTCAGTTTGCAGCTTTCATCTTCTGATGTATCTCGTGGTTATTGTACATAAGCCAATTGCATCTGGTTGAAAAGCTCTTTCCAAAACGCAGCAAGCTTGTCACAAACAGATTGCTTCCTTTCCCTGGCATAGCTGCAAATCAATCAGGCCCTCAAAGGGCAAACATGTCAAGCTGGTCATTTTTCATTGGGCAGCCAATCGTGAATAAATGTATTCGCATATTGAGGACATACCTACGACTGAATTTGCCCTCCTCTGCATTTGTATTCGTGGCAAACGAATGCAAACCGTCCAACCCCTCCATGTGCTTGGAAACCTTCCCCATGTCTTGCAAGATCCTAAACACAGAGGGTGAGGCCTGGCCTGTGCTGAGGAAACCCTGGACGGTCGGCTGAGAGCTCGGCTTTATGTTTGCACCAGTGGCGCCTCTATCTGCACCCAATGCTTCAGCTGTCAGGCCCTTTGCGTGTTTGCTTGAAGGCAGGAGCGAAAAGTCGAAGGCGTTCTCCTTCATATGAGCGAAGGCTGCCATGTTTGAGCCCCTCCAGGACAGGGAACAGCCACAGTAGAGCTTCCCAGCATACTCTTGAAAGACGCAACTCTCTCTGGAACCATCTTTCAGGGTGCAGAACACTGTTGCTTCGGGGAACTGAGTTCACAATCAAGGTAGGCTTTCAAAGACGTTTGGAGAGCATTTGGTCGACTCTGAAGCAGCGTTTTGGACTAGCTGGCTCTCATTGACTGGGGGCAGCGGAACCAACGTGGCTGAGCCTGAGGCTTCGGCAGCTGACTTTCAGCAAGTATTTACTTACACCAACTCCGCTGCTGTCCTGGCAGCAACAGATTCAAAGACGAAGTCTGGTTGCGAGTCCGCTTCTGCTGGCAATCAGTTACAGGTAAACAATCTTCCTTCCAAACTTGCAACAATGCAGGATCCTGTAATTCAACGTTCAAATTAGGGGAGTTTTGTTAGAACTTGACGAGGATAAAGATCTTATTAGGATTAGGTATCGCACCTGTGCGCTGAAAGCGTATGTACATAAAGCCTACCTAAGCGGAGTAGCCGGAAAACCGTAATGTTATGAAGTTGACGTGTAGCCAGGTGAGTGGCAGGCAGCTTGAATTGTTGCTGGATATGTACTTGCTGTACACAGTGTTACTCTTTGGAGCTGTTGTGGGACCTTTTTTGTGAGCCGGGCGCCCCTCACTCAGGTCTCAGAGTCAGTCAATCACAGTGCCTACTTGGGCCTTGCTTTTGCATATGTGCATGAAGTTAAAGACATTAACTAGTTCATGAAGACATTTCCGAGATCCTTTCTTACTTACCCAGTGGTTTGATTCAAAAAGCGCGGGCTTACACAGACCTACATGCCGGTGTGCATTAGATTTAGATCATTCATATCCAATCAAGATGTACAGCTCGTCTTGTGATGCCTAACTTGAAAAAGTGGCACCAGGCATCAGTATAGATGTGTAAGTAGGTAGGTAGGTATGTCCCCATACTACGAGTACCTACGAGTACCGCCTCAGTCCCGAGAGCGATCAGATCACTGGCAGATGTCACTCAAAATATCTCGTCTAGTCATGATTACGATTAATCAACCTCCATATTGACGTGACCTTTCAACTGACCCTAAGTACATGCAGCGTGTCATTGTGGTCCAAGGACACTTTCTGTGACGTGACTTCGAAAGACATCATGAAGTGCCAATACTGCACTGTGCTGGCAATCATTTCGTCTGTTTTATGTATGTGACAGTCCGTGAAGCAATACAAACTACCGTATCAACACATGATCAACACGCAAGCAATTACATTGCAGCTGAGTCTATCAGGGTACATGATAGGTAGAAGGATGTCAGTGGAGCCTACGAATCTTTGTTTATCTGTACGTTGGTGACAGTTTCCCGAAGTTGAAACCGTTTCTCTTGTTTGCTATTGCCAAACAAGCTTCGCATGCAATTGCAACGCAATTGAAAGGCGCAAAGAACAATTTCTTTGGGAAGCGCGAAGGGGAAGCACTGCAGAACGCTACGAGAGTAGCGGCCTGGGCCCCACGGTCACGAATTTATTATTATGAGAGCATTATGGCACAGCGTGCCCGTTCCCGGAACGCGAAGTCAATAGGCTAAGCTAGCCTACGCGAACCAACGATTGTTAGAGTGTTACTCGACATGTCTCAGACCGTGGGGCCCTAAAGGCCGCTACGTACAGCTAAGTATGACTAAGGACAGCGTTTAACCGCTAAGAGTCTACCGCTACCACTCAGTCAACTACAACTGTTGCAAATTGGTGCCCCGTCCGCCGCGCGCACCAGTAAAAACCCTCCGCCGGATCGGGCCGCTGGAGCGGAGCCACGTCGTAGGCTGGTAGGGAAAAGGTCTGCGCGCGGCGGACGAGGCGCGACGCGGCCGCCAGGGTTGACGGAGTGGTAGCGGCGACTCCGAGCGGAACGCGGCCGGAACAGTCTGCACGGAAAAGGAGCGTGCGGAAGTACAAGAACTAGGGCGGGTGGGTAGGGAAAAGGCGCTACTGAAGAGATGCGAACTGCTTGTGCTAAACTTCGGCAGAATGACGAAGACGAATGCACGCATTCGCTTAAGAATGCTGCTGACGCGCACGCGGCCGCGTGCGCGCAGCGCACACTTTGGAAAAGTGGCGCGGCGGTTCGCGCCAAGAGAACCGAAATTCTCCACTAATTGCAATCGTGGAGAATTCGCAATTTCATGCAGAACTTTATCAGAGCTCAGTGCCGGCTAACTAACCTAAAGGCTGGGCATCAGTCTCGAGCGTCGATGTTTCAATAAGCCCATCATAAGCCGTCGATCTTCGTAGAACGCGCGCAACCCTGCCGTCCCGTTGTCACGGGCTCATTAATTTGGGGCCAGCCGGCCGGCATTGAAAATTGCTGACGTCAGATCCATACTATACTGACCAAACTTGAAACCTGGTTGAAACCCTGGCCGCCATGTATCTTAGAGCCGGCCGTGACGGGCGCGGCGACGGCCGATCGATCTCCTTCGCGCCTAGGTGCATGATGCCCCGTTGGATTTTGAAGTCTGATCGGAACCGGCCTCGTCCATACGGTACATACCGTATTACACGTGACCACTGACTGGCCCGGTTGAGTCCGAACCGAAAGCGGGAGTCAGTGCTCTCTGGTGTCACTGTCAGGGCTTCGTACTCGAAGTTGGAAGTCTGAAGACATATTGCAGCAAGCCTGCTGCAGCTCCTTGCCAAGGTCCTGCATTGTGATCCTCCTCTTGGTTTCTACTTAAGACTCAGAGGCAAGCCTAGGTTGTCTGGGTTGTCGCCCTTGCAAAGACACCCTTACGGTGAGAGCGTTGCGAACGTGCGCGGCTGGGTGTCAGTATTTGTGGGCTGCAAGATTTGGTTGTTTTCTGAGCGCGTGAGCTGCCTCCTTCATTGTGTAGGCGATGTGCTAGACGTGCTCCAAGATGGGAGACCAGCAAGTGCAAGCCGGCCGCACTGACGGCGTGACTGCGCGTGTCAAAAATGCGGCACAGAAGTCAGAGGCCCAGGTACGGTGCCCAGACATATGGAAGCATGCGAGGCGAGGCGATGCTTGGTCGCAGAGGGAACTGGGTCTTTTGTATAGCAAAGGTTACATAGGCCAAGATTATGAAGCTGCAGCTCATTGGTATAAGAAGGCTGCCAGCCAGGGCGACGCAGTGGCACAACGCGAACTTGGCCTGTTGTACCAGTGTGGCCATGGGGTTCAGCAGAGTTACGAAGAGGCGATAATCTGGTTCAAGAAGAGTGCTGACCAGGGGGAGGCACTGGGGCAATGTAATTTGGGCAGAATGTACGGGCGTGGCTACGGGGTCCAGCAGAATTACGAGGAGGCGGTAAACTGGTTCAAGAAGAGTGCTGACCAAGGAGAGGCATTTGGGCAGCTTTGTTTGGGCGAAATGTACGGGCTTGGCTACGGGGTCCAGCAGGATTACGAGGAGGCCGCATCCTGGTTCCAGAAGAGTGCTGACAAGGGCAGTGCAAGAGGTCAGTATGCTCTTGGCGAATTGTACGCACGTGGCCATGGGGTCCAGCAGACTTTTGATAAGGCCTTATACTGGCTCCGGAAAAGTGCCGACCAGGGCGATGCAAGAGGTCAGGCTGCACTTGGCGAGTTGTATGAGCTAGGCCACGGCGTCGAGCAGAGCTGCGAGGTGGCAGCGTGCTGGTATCAAAAAGCTGCTGACCAGGGACATGCATTGAGCCAGTTCAATCTTGGGGAATTGTACGCGGAAGGGCTGGGGCTCCCGCAGGATTGGCGCAAGGCTTTCGCTCTCTTTGAGGCAGCGGCACGCATTCCTAAGAGGTTGGATGCACAACTATCCCTGGCATGGTTGCTGTGGACAGGGACTGGGGGTGTGCAACAGGATAGGGTTCGCGCAGAGGCCTTGTGCGCAACAGTGCGAGACACAGAAGGGTACAAAAAGAAGTTGGCTGGCAACACAGTAGTTGGTCCGTTTTGGCCCGGCGTGCTGGCATGGTTTAACAACTGGGTGGAGCATGGTAGTGATGGTAAGGAGGCACTTCTCGAAACGCCCAAGTCTCTGCCAAGCAAGCTTTCAGAGTTGGAGGCAGGTCCCTTCTTAGCTTCCCAAGAGAGCCCCACCTCTCCTCCCGAAGCGGAAGCTGAAGCTGATGGCAGGGGCAGTGCAATGAACCCTCCTGGAGATTCCCCGTTGGCAAGGGTGAGAATTATTTTACAACCTGGTTGACACTGTAACCCTAGGAAGTGAAGGCTGGAACCAAATTCGTTTGATGGTGTCAGGGTTGCAACCCTTTAATCGGCTCGGTTGTTCTCGTTTCATTGATCAGATTAGTACAGTTTTGGGGAAGTAGCTGATTGTGGGCAGATGCCCTGGACAGGTTTCTCATTGTTTCAGTCACTGGTAATACATCATGTGACATTAGCTTTAGTATGTTTATGAGTGGACTAGGATGGGGCTTCCACCTCATAGCACAACCACTCATTGGCTCCACTCGAACTGGAACAGCAGTACCTTCCAGATCGGTGTGGTACAAGGGGGTAGGTCGGGTGGTTTCACTGATGCACAATCTGCTGAGTCACCCCCCTCGAGACATTACTGTGACCACATTCTGTTGTCCCCCTGGAAGGGGACTTTGCAACGACGTACATGGATCAAATCGTATTCCAGTATAATGGAACTCTCCTCCACCATCGCCCTTTGAGGAATGATAGGACCCACATTTTCTCTTTGTTCTTGAAAGGGACCACAAGTTAAGCTGCTTCCTGATTGCAAGCATCTTCTTTGGTGCAGTTTGAGGACATTACAGCACCTGTCTTACCCTCGCCCGGTGCTCTGACGGGCTTGCTTAATGGCCAAAAGCCTGCAGAAGGCGAACCAAGTTCGTCTGCCAAGGATTATTCTGCAGAAGAACGTGACGGAGGCGAACAGCCAAAGGACGATACAAATCCGTACGATGCAAGTGTGGCGGGACACGGGGAGATGCTGAAGGAGCTCAGAGTATTTTTGGAGAGCAGCGGCGGCTTGTCCAGCTTGCCGGTGGTGCCAGACGAGAGGTCGCGCTGTTTGCTACAACGGCTCCTCTCTGACAAGAAGCGTCTCGTTGAGGCTGAGGAGCGCATGAAACGGAGTCCTGAGGCGTCAGCTTACTTTACGGAGATGCACTGGCGCCTAGGGGATTTGTTCGTCGGAGCACAGGCGTTGGGGAGCGGGAAAGTGCAGCCCGCGCCGTCCATGCCCTTCGTTTCCGTGGTACTCACGTCGGCGTAGCACGTGCTTAGCGAGCTGCCGTTCTTGAGGGCTGCAGCGGGGATGGCTAATACTGGCTTTCAGGCATGGGACGGCGCACGTGTGTGCAGCGCAGCGGAGAAAGTGTGCCGGGTTGCGCCGGCGGGGTTGGCGCAGCAAGTCGCGCACGCGGTCACGTTGGCGCTCGCGCTTGGGCGTGAGGAGGTGGTTCGGGTGTTGTGGGGTGGGGGGGTGGGTATCACTTTCTCAGCCACCCAGACGGTGCGGCAGCAGTGGGGCATTCTGACGGGATTGTCGAACCGGGAGGCGAGGATTCGGGGCCTAGTAGAGGACGACCTTGCTCTTCGAAAGCATTCTCGCCAAAGAGGTCCAAGGTGTTTCTGGGGATACGGACGGGGTGGAGGTCAGTCGGCAGCTGATTGAGTTGGGGCTTCAATCCAAGGCAAGCCCAGTGGCGATTGGGGGCGTGCCGGCACCAAACCCTCCACTTAACCCGGGAAACTCTGGTCCGAACAACCCCGCCGTTGGGGTGATTGCAGTGCAGCGGACAGGGTCTCCTCCCAGCGCGAGTGGTGGGTTTGGTTCCGGGTTAGATGCTAACGACGTGAGGGCGCTCCATGATCAGATCAAGGAGCTTGAGTTGAAGCAGTTGGCGGATGGCGCGGAGGTCCGGCGCCTCAGAAGCGACTTAACCCGGTTACGGAGGGGAGTTTCCGAGGCTACCCCAGGGGGCGAGCAAGGAGACCGCACGATGTTGATGTTGCAAGCGGATGGGGCCGACGAAGTCGGGGGACTCGCTTGGCAGATACGGCAGGTGCAACAACAGTTGGACGACCATCAGGCGACTCTTGTTAAGTTGAGAGCGGAAGCGGGGTCGAGGGGACAGAGGGTCTCAACGGTCGAGGTGCGGTTGGAGAGGGATTCAAAGGGACGGACGGTTCGCAACACGAGGTGGTTCGAGATGCAGGTGGGTTCTGGTTTTTGGTCCGACCTTTGACGGTGTATTGTATGCATTGGCACAGTGAGGGTAGCAACTGGAGAATGTGATGCCAGCCTGCAGGGGTTCCAAACGCTTTGGAAGAGGAAGCACTAAAAAGCTTGAACCATTGTTTGCCTGATTCTGAGTTCCAAACTTGAGCGGTACTGGCACTGGGATCGAGGTTGTGTCCTCTTTGGTTCTCTTAGTTCCAACGCACAGCGGAGGAAACAAAACACCCGGTTTCTTGGGACCTATCTCTAGCAACCGCGTATACTGAAGGATGCGTCAGCAACCAGATAGGGGCAAGAGGCCCTTCACTCACAAAGAGGGCGTTACTACTCTGTCGTTGGCGGATACACATGCTCCGTGGCTTATCCGATAATGCTGTTGCTTGCAGAGCACGGGTGGCAACCATTAGCAAGGCGTAGGTTGAGCTTCCTTTCAGAACCAGATGCAAAGAGCACGTGTGGTTTATTTATTTCCTATGGAAAAGAACAGTCGCTTCAGATGGGCTAGTTCGGTAGTGGGACTAGTTACAAGAATCCCTCTCAAAAGCATGCGGCAAGCATAGGGAGAAAGTGTAAGTATCTCGCAACCAGGTTTTTATCAAGGATTCGTTCAGCAGATTGATACCAAGCCAGTACGGCGCCCTTCAATGAGCATTTATAGGACATGTATCAGACAATATTCAAGATAGGGTGTCAAATTGACGTAGCGATTCGTCATTCTCATTGCATGGCAGATCCAGAACGTCACCGTTTAAAGCCAGGCTGTGAACAGCTATAACATCGACGCGAGTCCGAGTCCAACGCTGCACGAGCCGCGCAGCACTCATGCACTTGTGACCTGAGAGTGTACGTCGTATGCTAGTAAGCCGCCCCTAGCTGCGCAGCCGAAGCACATCGACTGATCGCGATGTCGTGGAGAGTCTTACATATCATTGCATATGTGCATGCCTTGCCGCCAATGCCAACATGAGAGTCATTGATCGAAGACAATGATGATCCCTGACGAGATAGCATGTGATGCATGATACATGCCTAGGCATCTTCAATGTACAGAAGGCTTGCGATCGGATAATGTCCGAATCGATGTTCACCAGCCGGTGGCATGCAATTGATATAAGCACGGTGTACGATCATCCATACGTTACGACGGTGCAATTCTGTACGACTGCACGTGCCTGCTGTTCCGCTCATCGGGAAATTAGTGGCACTCACTAAACGCATGGATCATCGGAACACTGACCAAGTCGGAAGCTGAGGCAAGCAGCGGATACCGAAGTCTGGCCCTTGCTGGCGTAGACGCGAAATGCTGTCCCGATGATCGGACACGATCAGACAGGTGCACGTATGCGGCTAAGCTTTGACAAGCTCTTGCAGTCGTTCCAGAAACTCTTCTTTTCGACCCGCCGTGCTGGGCATCTTCCGTAAATGGTCTAGCAGCATCCGCGCCTTTTCATCTTCTGACGAGCTTTCCGGTCTTGCTTTTGTTTGATGAGAGGGTTCGTAACTGGACGTTTCGGCAGTCTGCTCTTCGTTGACTGCTGCTGCATTGCTTGGTTCCAATTCAACCTCTTCCGGAACGGCTGTCAGTCTTCGCCGTTTGTGGCTTGCCCTCTCCGTCACTTCGGCTTCCATTTTCGCAGCCATGTGCGCAGCCCGCAAAACAACCGGGTCCGGAATCTGCAAAGGACGAGCGGCGAGAGACAGAGTGGATAAATGGACAAGGACGGCACACAGGTGTGAGAAGCGCCGAAGACTGGGGGAAGCAGAAAGTCATTGCCGTTGTATTGGTTACGAAAGCCGACTCGGAAGTCGATATGACGTCGCGCGACCTCCTTTCGATCGAGCATAAGAGTGAAGGGAGCGCGAGGGTGAGATCTGATGAGAAGAAGTTCACTTCACGAAAATTGTGACAGTTTGAAATGCACAGCGGACGGTGTTTGATGAAGGAACAAAAGCTCTTTCCCAGATCCACTTGAAAAGCGTCAACCACAAAACAAAAGGGACTACTCCGGAAGATTCCCCGGAAAGATCAGACGGATGCAATATGACGCATTTTGTACAATCAATATGGCACTTCGCAAAGCATTCCCTGCGCCGAAGGCCGACGGTGTTCGATGAAGGAACAAAAGCTTTACAGACCGTGGCGTTTGTAGTGAAGCACGCAGAGGAGCCTGTTAAATCAGCGCGACCATCAGCACAATCTAGACGTTCTTCCCTTCAACAATCACCCTTTTTTCATGCCGCGTCGCAAGGAAGAGCAACTCCAAAAGAGAGACCGTTGGCGCTCACCTCCGCCAGACGTGCCACGTGGAGCCCAAAGCTCCTGGGGGAAAGCCCCGGGACCAGCTTGTACAGAAACGTCACTTTCTGGTCGGCCTCCTGCTCCCGTGACGTCGCCCCCCCCTCGCCCTCCCCTCTTGCCACGTCAGCACCGCCCTCCGAGCCGCCACGTGGCGCCCGGTGCGTCGCTTCTTCGGCCAGATACGACACAAAGTACGTCCCCACCTCCGCCGGGAACTCCTTCCTCAGCTCCGCGATCTGCGGGTAGTGCGTCACGAACAGCGCGAGCGAGCGTTGCTCGGCCAATAGGCTATGCAGCGTCGCATACGCTATGGCGACGCCGTCCATGGTGCTGGTCCCGCGCCCGAGCTCGTCCATGATCACGAGCGAGCGCGCGCTCGCGCCCCGGAGGATCGCGCCGGCTTCGGACAGCTCCTCGAGGAACGTGCTGCGGCCGCGCTGGATCGAGTCGGAGGCGCCCATGCGCGTGTGCACGTTGTCGAACACGTGGAGGGTTGCGGAGTCCGCGGGAACGAATGAGCCCATCTGCAGAATATGCAAGGATGCTTCTCAGATTCTGAAGTAAACATCTTGGTCAGCTTGTTTGAAACTGCGCGCTGTCGAACACGTGGAGCGTTGCTGAGTCGGCGGGAACAAACGAGCCCATCTGCGGAATGGAGACGTTTCTTAGTCTTCAAACACTTGCGTGGTCTCAGTGCAGCTCGTGTTAACAGGGCACGTTGTCGAGCACATGGAATCCGCGGGTACGAACGAGCCTCATATGCGGAGTCGTAAGCACCGGCTTTGAACGCGGCTTCCCGACCTCGCAACCTTGCGACCAAGCAGCATACGCAACGTTGTGATGAGTCTGACAAAGAAGCCACTTCCCTCCAACTCACGCTAAAATCAACTCCGTAAAGTTCAATGTCTGTTTGCCTCCAATCTAATGTAAGGTGCACATGAGAACCGTGACAAGAAACCATTGGAACCACAAACTATCAATAAAGGAGGGCAAAAGCTTACGGAATTCGGACATGGCAGCAGTAACGCATGAGGGTTTTGGATGTTGTCGAACGCGAATCATTGCAAGGCTCAGGAATTATATACCCACCTGAGCCATGATGACGATCAACGCCACCTGTCGTATGTACACGCTCTTGCCGCCCATGTTGGGCCCCGTGATGATCTGGCACCGCTCGCCAGTCGCCGTCAGACACGTGTCGTTCGGCACGAAGTTGTCCTTGAGCGTCGCTTCTAACACGGGGTGCCGCCCGCCGGTGATCCGCAACTGGGGGGGTTCCTCCTGACTGACGAAGACTGGGCGGACGTACCCCTGGTTCTGAGAAAGGATGGCCAAAGAGTGGAGGCAGTCGAGAGCGGCGAGGGCTTGCACTGCGGCGCGGAAGTCAACGTAGTGCTGCGATAAAATGAGGGAACACGTCAGCACGACGTCATGTTGCGGACAAGAATCGAAGGTGGGCTTTCTATTTGGCGGGGACGATGTTCTTAATTAATCTCCGCGATCCGTACAACTGTACCGGTCGACTTGCACAGTGCAGGCGGCTGCAAATGGGCTTCTCGTTATACCCATGTTCGTTGCCGCCCCGCTCTTTCGATGGAATCGTGCGACAAAAAATCGTTGCCCACAGCAAGGCGCCTCTCCTATACTTCGCAGACCGACTCACACCGGGACCCAGATCCGTAGATTCGTCCACCTCAGTCGATCCTTGTCATCATTTCCACGTAGTCAGCGTTTTCAATGACGGTAACGCAGGCACAAGAACACCAGCAATCAGAAAAACGACGTAAGCAGAAGATGTAACAGGTCACCCCTAGCCTCTGAAAGTGTGGCCAGCAGACTTCCTTTGTGGCTCAATACGCCCAAAGGTCAATTCATTGTCCGGATAATGGAACGACGAACAAGACTTGATACTTTCAGGCCATTTTAACGGTGCAGCATTCACTTGCCTCTGCGAAGTCGGCCAGGAACGCATCCCACGCTCGGTTACAGGCGGCGGTCAGCTCCTCGCGAGCCACCGCCAGGCTCTCAAACGCCTCAAGCACCTCGGGGGGGTGGTACCGGATCTGCGCCTTCGTCGTGCTGACCTGCGCGCGGAGGACGATGACGTCAGCGATGACGGGTGGTAAAATTGTGCTCCACCGGAACCAGAGAAAGAGGGACCAACGAACCAAAGCACCCTGCTTCCAAAGCAGATACGACGTGTTTAAATGGTAGAACGGGTTGGGTAGCGGATCCATCTACTCAGTCTGGTGGTCTGTACGTTCCGGTTATGCGGTTATCAGCTTGCAAAAGTGAACATCAGACGTGAAGCAGACGTGAAGCAGACGTGACGCAGACGCTGGGAATCGACGAGGGCAAACCCCGGTGCAAAATTCCGGTGCATACCGAGACCAACAACTTGGACCGCTTCAAAACCGTTGAAAAGCGACACGAGGTTCGCTTTTTGATCCATTTCAAAACCCGTTCTCGCGCCAAGGCCCCCGTAGACAGATCTCTAACCGAAACTAGGATTGCAAGTCATCAGAGATATGTAGCGAAAGACCAAACGAATGCGCACCTTGATCCAGTCTGCGGGTACCCTCTGAGCCGGGGGCGCCTCGACGAGGTAGTCCGTGCCCAGAACGCTCTTGTACTGAAGACTCGGATTGCGCAGCAGCTTGCGGAGTTGCGGCAGCAGGTCGTCGAGCTCGCGCTCACAGGCGGCGATGCGCTCCTTGCAGCTGGCGACCTGAGAAGAAAAGGTTGTTTAGTCTACGAAGGCGTTTTCTGAGATGCTCGCAATATTTCAGGTATTTTATACCTTTGGTGAACTTGCCAAACGGCCCAATGAAAACGAGAGAGGTTTGTCTCAAATTTTACCATTGCTCCAACATCCAACTGTCATCTTCTTGCGGATAACAACAAACGACTACTAAAGGAGCCTGTGGCTATCCGATGAGAAACAGACCTGCCTTGTTGAACTTGGTTACTGTTGCCGCAGACGCCTTCTCGAGCTGCGGACTATTACTTGCTCGTTATTTCGCTAAAGCAAGAGATTCTCCGCTCTCCGCAGCTGGCAGTATGATAAGAAAACCGCAACCGAGATGCTCGCCCGGGAACCCTTTTGCTCGGCGCAGCGGTAGGTTCTATCTGAAGACAGACACGTCCAAAAATAATGGGTCGCCCTGAAGCTGCTCCAGAAGAATAGCTTAGTGCTAGTCTCACCTCCGGAAACCGGCCGTTCTCGCAAACGAACAGGTTCGTCTTGTCGGCCGCCGGCACGCTCCGCGCCGCATTCGCGTCCACGCCCGCGAGCAGCTTCTTCGCCTCCCGGACCACCGTTGCTGACGTGGCAGCCGCCAGGAGCCGCCTCAGCAGCGGCGCGCGCACCCCCGAGCCGCTGACGTCATCTGCCACGTGTCCCTCGGAGACAGGCACGTGGCCGAGCCGGCGGGAGACGGCCAGGAGCGACTGGATGACGGAGACGAACTCGGACGGGGTCGCCGTCCGGTGGAAGAGGCGCGTGATGCCGCGCTCGACGTCCGGCATCTTGCCGAGGCTGCCCAAAATTCCTGCAATGTCAGATGACGTTAGAACGATAGCTGTGTTGTCTTCCCATGTTCTCTTCGACCATTTCCCCCTCTCGCCGAGATGCTCCGGACGACAGTATGACCATTGGTCCTGGATAACCAATGTGTCACATGCGTTTCCTTCTTTCGAGCGTATAAATAGCAAGGCTGGCTGTTCAACTGACGGAAAGGAACTGCCCTTGTGACTTGTTCGCCTTAACATCAAGGACAACAGACAAGCACTTGAACCTTCGGACGGCAGTCACCGACTCAAACATGTCTTCTCTTGGACGGACACCGAAACATACTCCCACAGTCCCCAGAACCTTTCTTGTATCTCCTAAAACTGTTTGAGATCCCTTCAACATATATATGGAAGGAATCGTCAGACTACGCGAGAAAAGAAACACTCACGGAAAAAAGTATGCTGACCACCTGCGAAAATGTGTGTCTACCATCGAGAAAGAGAACTGAGGGAAATAGACGTCAAAACTGCGGTCGCTCTCGCCGAAAACCGTCGGTTCCTGGTGTATGGCTATGCAGAAGAGTACACAATTCCAGAATAAGAATCCGTCTTTTCCTTACCTGCCAGCCCCCCCACACTCCCCTCCGCGGCGGCAGCCGCTGCCGCGGCGTTCGCCCCGCCCCCCCGCCCACTCCCGGGGTACTTGTTCTCTAAAGCGGACGTGCTCAGAGAGCCCGCCAACTCTTGGACGGCGTCTGCGCGAGCCTTGATCATGTCGAGGTTGCGAAGCGGGTGACAGATCTGAAGGACACGAGGTGTTTGGTCCAGTCTAGAAAATTTGCAGAATCCGGAGAAGAGGTGCAAGTCATAAGATGTCTCAGGTGGCAAAAGGGGCCCTCGTGCGGCGGAAGCGGAGAGCGGGACTAAGAGTATGTGACAGGGCTTGAGTGAGAGATATATTCGAGATACTGGGTTTGTCTTTTGGACCGTTCGATTGATTAGCTTTGGGGCCAAAGTGTCGCCAGTGCTACTTGGTTTTCAGCAAAGGGCAATCCTATGTCCTTCAATCCAGAAACCGATAATCCGGTCATTGCTCAGTTGAATGATTACCGGCGACCAGGAAGGACTCTTCGGGACGCCTTTGACTTCGTTTCCGTGCAATGGTAGCCAAACCCCAAAAGTCAAAGGGAAACCAGTACGCACCCAGTGCTGCAGCAGGCGCCCCCCGAACGGCGTGCTTGTCTGGTCCATTAGCCAGAGGAGGCTGCCCTTCTCGGTGCCGTCCGCGCTGTTGCGCAGGATCTCCAGCTGGCGCAGCGCGTTGGGCGAGAGGCACATCTCCTGGACCGCAGCAAAGGGCCGGAACGATGCGCCTAACCGGAGCACCTGAGCGGAAGGAAAAAGAACGTTGGCTTGCGGGCCGGGTACGTACGTGCCTCTATTCGGGTGCTGACGTCTTCAAGGACTCAACAAAGTGCGCAAGCCGGATCGCGCTCCTGAGAAGGAGGGGATGAGAACGAGAAGCACCTGCGTCGGTTGTTGGGAGTCGCTGAAATGCTCTGTGTGCAGTCGGACATTATATGTTCCAAAGAGAAGCGGCTAGGATGCGTTTTCGGAGAGCATAGCGTCGACTTTCGTTTCGGATGCGGCTCCTGATACTCAATTCCCGCCGACCTTTGCGTCACAATCGTCGTGAATCGCTTAATCCAGCCAGAATGTCGCTGCACTTTCCGTTCTTGAAGAGATACTGACTGATAACGATGGCCGAACACATTGCACCTGCCCGGCGAATACCTCAAGAAGAGCCAATAAAGCTACGTATCCACTTTTCGAGCCCACATAAGGAGCTCGTAGTCGCCGTGAGCGACTCAAAAGGATGAAACCCCACTCACGTCTTCCAGTCCGAACGCCCTCAAATAATCCAGCGCGAGCGCGAGCGCCTGAAGCACCAGATCCGGCAGCCCCAGCACCGTTTCCAAACTCTTCGCATTCCTTTCCTCTTCCTCAGCAGTCTCTCGATCCGCATCCCCCCCCATGGCTCCAAGAGTCGCCTTGGCCCCGTCCTGCGCCCCCCGCCGCTTGCTGCAGTAAAAGTCTGCCACGTAGGACGAGGCGCTCCCGCCCTGGAACTTGGCGCGCGAGACGCGTTCCGTGCGGACGCCGCTGGGGTCGGCGAAGTCGCGGAGGAGCTGCGGGCGTGGCAGAGACGGGGTCTAAGGTCAGTTGCTAACTTTTGAGGGTGTCGGTTGTCGAAATCAGAACCTGCGAAGGGTCCTGAGCGAAAGTAACAGGGGGACAAAAGCGGAACATCTGTCGGGGTTCAGCGCTTGTCATGGTTCCGGCTGTTTGAGACAACGGTTTTTGGGCTTGAGACAGGATTAGGTGACGGGTATGGCCCCTCCAAGCGCTCCGGTCAAACTTCCTCCGCGTTACAGACCTGGATGCGAATGACGAGCGGCAGAAGACTGCCATATTTTCGAAAAGCGGATCAAAACGCTCACTTTTTCCGTGGGTGCCGAGATCGGGTCCGCCAGGAGCAGCTCCACGGGCGCCGCGGAGATCATGCACGACTCCAGGTCGGACCGCATTACCGTGTCCTTGAAGTGTCCGTACATGACGTCACCAGTCGCCGTCTCCACCGCCACGACCCCAAAAGTGGCGTCGAACCCCCCCGCCAAAGTGGAAGGCCCCTCGGGCTCTGCCGCCATTTCGTCTTCCTCTGCCTTTAGAGGGGCGCGCCCCGGCTTTTTATTGAGGTCGAGAGTCTCCTCTGCCAGAAAGAGAGTAGAATGAGCAAGAAGGAAGTCTGATGGATTGCTCTCACATACGTCTTGAACATGCTCCCAAAGTACACAGACGTTGACGTGGTGCGAGGTCGGAGGGGTCGAGAATGAGGAGGTTGCACTAACATCTAAGAATGGGAAGTATTGGAAGACCGAGAACTTTCGTTTGACGTCCCTCAATCAAGAGACACACCCTCTGAAAGAGCAAGCGGCATGTCAATCGCTGCAAGGAACAGAGGGGCTCGTATGCTGCACAACACCTCTTTTCTACTAGCTCGCGGACTCAACATTTTCGACTATACCTACGTTTACATGAGTGCACTTTTATCCTAGCGCCCTTTCACAATCACAAGTCGATGAAGAAGAACGACCCCCAGACCAAGCGGTCAGTGTCAGTCACAAGTGTTTCAAGCTCCTCACCTGCTATGCACATGAGGTAGCTGCTGAGCCGCCCCTTCCCGACCGCATCATCTTGTGAGCCCCCTCCCAAATCCTCTCCCGCCTCCAAAGTGGCACGTGTATACAGAGCCGAGAGGCGCCGGCCAAAGAGGGCCGATTTGTTGGGGCCCTGCGACTTGATGGCGGCAGTCTCCGCCTGACGGACTACCCCCACCTGCAACCAGAATTGGTGCAGATATACTGAGTTGGGTTTGGGAGACTTGTATGGCTAGAATGACTCGATTGACTTGATTGGTTTGGTTCTTGCGAGTTGTGGAATGCGGAATGTGGAATGATGTAGGTACCCTGACATGGATTTGTAGGACTTCGTTGCAAATAAGATTGTTCCTTGAAGGCTTTGTTCTGGCAGATTTGAATGTAATGGAAAAGTTGCAAGCAGAGCGAGCAGGACACTTTGACTTCTGACAATGTCCTCACTGCCTTTCTGACCACAACAGAGAGCTTTCCTACCTTTGCGCTTCGAGAATTAAGATATGCAGGAGACTAGGACCAATGAGCTTCAAGAGCACGAACCGTATCGTCCACTCAGGATTGTGACAGAATCCCTTGCTATCATGACTGACAAGAGATCCGATAAAGACCCCGTTCTACAGTGATCAAAGGCGCACCTTAAACCCAGCCTCCACCAGGCGCCGCACGTGCACATGTAGGCGGTGCGTCGGCACGCTGGCTGTCAGAAAGTTGTGGTCGTAGTGTGCAAAGATGTTGAGCACGCGAGCCGCCGTCTCAGCGTCTTCGCCAAAGAAGCGGTACTTGTATCCGACCTCAACCATTAGTAGCACGTCTGGGTAACGCTTCTGGAGCTCAACGATCTGCAAGGATTTCGAGGGCCAGTACTGTAGTCTGATGGCTAATTTATGGAATTAGAATCTCCTGGGTGTGCGAGGGGTTTTATCGTACAAGCTCAAAAGCAACCTCATACCTCGTTTCATCTTCAAATGTATGTTCTACAACTACAAAAAGCAAACTTCTCGTGAGGTCTTTGGAGTAAGAAGCTCTTATTAGAATTCCATCTTCACCAGAACGATCACCAGCTCAGAGGCTTCATAAGCTGGCAGACACTTCCCTGTAACCATCTTAAAACCATCTCCTTCGAGGCATCAGTCGACCATGTAAACCAACGTTCCAAATCTGCCCCTAGTACTTCAAAAACATCTCCAATTGCCACCAGCAACATAGAATTCCATGTTGAAGTAACTGCAGAAAGTGTCCAACAACAAAACTTATTTAGCATCACCCACCTGTAACTCCAGTGGGGTGTACTTGACCCCAGGGCCGGTGAGCTGAGCCGCGCCTGTCCGCTCCGAAAGGCGCCCCTGGTCATCACTCCTTGCCAGCAGCTTCTCCACAAACTTTGCATGCCTGACTGGATCTGATTTGGGGAACGCCTGTTCAGGCTCCTCTCCCCTCTCTGGTGCAGCACCCTGAGTTGCCGTTTCCTCCATTGTCTCCTGCACCTCCTCCGTGATGTCAGCATTCTGCACCACTCCCGTGACGTCAGCATCAGGCACCACTCCCGTGACGTCAGCAATTGATGCTGCCCCTACCCTAGCTGTTGCCTCCCTATCCTCTTTTGCAACCTTGCGCCGCTTTGCAGATGAGTCCTCAGCCTCCTTGCTGACCTCTTTTCTCTTGGTCGACAGCACCTTGTCAGGGGATACCGTCATCTGACCCCTGTCGGACACACTCTTCCCAGGTGTCTGAGGTGGTTCATCTCGGACAGGCGTCAAGGAGTCCCTCTCCCCAGACAAACGCTTGTGCAGCGGTGCCGGAGCCCCAGCAGCCGGCTCGGCGGTTGCTTTAGGCTTTGGAGCAAAGAAGCGGGAGATCGCTGGCTGGTGTGTTTTAGGCTTCTTCATCTTGCTCAAGGTGAGGCCACTGCTGAAAAGCTTTGGTTGAGCTAGGTGGTGATCAAATAGCTGAGGAAGGAAGCATGGTGGTTTCACTTGAGCCACAGGCGAAGTTTGGGGATCTTCAGAGTACTACTCCCTGATGAACAGATGAGCCTGCACAAGGTGATGTGGCGGCATTGCACGCAGGCGGCCTTCTGCATAGGAGAGATTAGGTTGCCCTGTGTTAGTTGACCAATTGCATGTTTCGTCTCCCCTCGTTGCAATCAGCACCACTAGCACCACCTTCTAATTACCTTCTAGAGAACACTGCAAGCTGGTCAAGTTGGCACACAAAGCAAGCAACCTGATTGGCTGTTTCAAGCAGCTTGAGCAGGGACTAAAAAGTGCGGCCACACCAGCAGAAATCGTCTAGAAGTCCATAACTATTTCAAGGGACAAGAGCTGGAAAAAGATCTCTTAGCACAGCACAACTGGGCGTTCTGGCCCCTTGCCAGTATACTGCCGCATGCAGTGCCTGCTCTCTCCCGCCAAAATTCTTATATGTCAAAACTCAAAAGTTAAAGTAGGGTTATGTACCGTAAGTCTTGGTTAGGCAGGCTGTCACCCTTTTAGTGGCCCGGTTTCTATCACCCAGGGTATTGTTTGCTTCCACGTTTCCATTTCAACGAGTGCCCGGAAATTAATTATAGCCCGGTACGTAGCTGTACCGGTATGCCCCGTCACCGTGACCTTGCGTTGGTTAAGTTTGGGTTAAGCGACATCATGACACCTGCGCCAGCCTTCCTTCCGAGTCTGCAGCGGCAGCCTCCTGCCAGCTAGAGCACGAGAAGTTCTGCTGCTCTGCAAACTTCTGCCACTAGGTACAATCTGGGATTGCGAAGCCTGTTCTGGGCGTCTTCATAATACCAAATGCCTAACACACGTTTCTCAATTGCTAGTTGACCTTTCTTTGCAGTCCGCCTTCCATATCGTTGCCATTAGCACCAGGACTGGGTTCACGTCCGCTGGACGCTCGTCCGCTGGAACCATGGGAAAGCTTTGGGGCCGAGAGCCCCCTCTCATCTTTCTGTAGCGCTAAGCCAGGCTACCTAGATGAGGCGGCTCAAGCAGCCAGCCATGCGCTGGAAGCTGCCAGCTGGCGTCCTGGCATTGGTTGTTTTCGTGCTTGTTGTCCTGGTCAGGCAGGTCAGGTTCAAGCAGGGGGGTACGGTTTCAAACTGGTACAGCAGACCGCGGTTGACGGGGGCCAACTTTGGCGCGGTTGAAAGGGGCTTTGACGAGGGGGGGGCGCTTTGGTCGGCGCAGGATGAAACGACCAACGTAGAGGAAGAGGAGGTGAAAAGCTGGAAGGAACGCCTACGGCAAGCTGACTTGAACGGGGTTGGACGGCGGACGGGGAATGCCAATGATGGGTGGGCGGAACATTCGGACGGTCGCACGTCCGGACGTGGTCCGAGGCTATGGGTGTTTGTGTCCGTTTCGGACACGCATGGCGTGCACGGAGATGTCCATGTTCCGGACGGCGACGTCCTTGTCCATGCGGGCGGGTTCTCAAGGAGTGAGTATCAATCTGGATTTTAGGGTTTTATAATGATGGCTTCCTGCATTGTTCAAAGGGGTGTTTACACATCGCATGAAAATCTGCTACAGCTGGCAATAATACAGCTGGCGGAATGGTGGGAACCAATTGTTGTAGACCCCTGTTGCAGGCTCGTGACATTGCTTATTCATTCGTCGATGGAAGAGGTGGTGAGATGAATCTGGAAGGTACTTGCTTCCGCGCACAGATGCATTAGCAAATCGTACGGCAAAAGCGCACAAATGTGGGATTGTATGAGCGAATCGTAAATGGTTGGCATGATTGTTCGGTCACAATCAAGGCTGTAGCAAGTACCAAGAGGTAGGTCTATATGAGCAACTCGTTGCTCAAAGTAGACAGTCAAATGCCCCCCTGCACGCCATATTGCCACCTTCGATAACACGCATTCTGCATCAAACCTTTGGCATCATAGTTGGCACCGATCCCCAGTGTTTGCCGCCGGGACCCAGCAGAGACTGATTCTGGTTATGATATTGTCGGTGCACGGCAAGTGCTGTTCTCGCCCCTGGGTTGCCTGGTGGCGCCGATAGCCAGGCACCTCTCAGGTGGTGTACTGGCAAAATGACTGTTTTCGAATTTGATCACCAATGTCACAAAACTTGCCTAGAGCACCTGCTCAATAGGAAAGCTGTCCGATTCTGTGGAAACAAGTCCCGGTCCTGTGTCAAGTGGTCCAAGATACCTTTGTGAAGAGGACCTCAGTCTTCCATGCGTCTTTGCAGATGGGACTGTGGAGCAGTTGAGGGACTTCAATGATTGGCTGGGCGCTTTTCCCCACAGGTCAGCCGGCCGCTTTGTGTGTGTTTCATGTCCGGGGTTCCTACCTTGTTTCTCACATAGCGTACCCTTCCTCGTCCTTCATTCTTGTCCAGTTGCGAAGGTGGTACTGTTGAGGATTGTCTGCTTCTTTTGAATTGTTCGGCTCCAAAGGATTGGAAGAAGGTGCCACCACAGTGTCCGTCCACTGATCTCGCATCAGAAGTTCAAAGGTCAGACAAAAAGCTTGTTTCTCTGGGTCCACGTATTAGATGCCGATCCTCACGGAAGCGACTGCCGAGAAACGACTGGCAAAAAACGATTTGAAAAAAGTCCAGAAAGAGGAAAAGAAGGAGCAGCTATGAAAAGCAGTCGTGCCGAATCATTCCTCACTTCTTGGCACTTTGTTCCCGAACCCAGGTACAGAGTTTTGTTCCTCCCTGGAGTGGCTAACAGTTTGGCAGACAACAAATCGAACGTAGATTAATGTGAGGTGTGGCATTATGTAAAGAGAAAGTAAAAGAGAGAAAAGCGAGTATTGAACTACTTCTTTCTCCGGTTACTTTGCTCCGTCCAGGTACAAGATTCTGGTCCCCGGATTGGCAGATCTCGGTCCCGGCTCCGAGTCGCAGCCACGGCTTCGGGAGCTTCTCTCGCACGCGAACGCGATTCTTGTAGATAGCACGTTCGTCCTCCCCGGGGGGGTGGTCATTTACGGTGCGCCAGCGCCCCCCCCGGGCGAGGAGGACCTAGGAGGGGGGCCCAGCAAGTGGGATCCCATCCCCCTGAACGTGAGTGCTCCGCAAAAGCACAGTTTATGTCTCTTTTTTCCGTCCGTTCTTTCCCGTGTTTCTTTGGCGGTTGCGGAAGAATCGCAGTGACAAGCATGGGTCCCCTCGTGAAGAAATTGGGAGGCTTGCTTCAGACGGGTCAGATTGTCCGACTTGCTGGTAGTAACCGGATCCTCAGGCGCTTTGGTAGTATGTTGCATAGGCCGGTCTTCAGATAGAGGCCTCTGTCATAGACGCGATGCAGATTCTGACTTCGAACAGAGCTTTTAAAAGACAATACTGTTCGTTATCGTCGTCCACTTTCTCTTCTCTGCTTGGTCGCTCACAGCAGCGTTCGCAGCCGTGATCGAATCTACATTGGAGCGGCATTCAAACAAAACAACCTTGAAATCTGTGGAAAGTGACTTGACATTTTTGAACTCTCATTGGACACTTCAGACCAGTCATCCCCAGCAGATATCAGGCTTGAACTACAATATGTGCCCTGAATGACGACCTATGTGGCCTGAATGACGACTGCTAGTACTTCTCAACAACGCGGGACAGTTTTCTCGGCCCAGCAAAGGAAGTCGCTTCCACCCACGAATTTGAGCTCAGGTGTGCAGCTTTTGTGGCACTATAAGCTTTACAGTCAATCAGATCAATCAATTTCGTTAAGCTCGACGTCTCAAAAAGAATCCCCCAGTTCAGCGTTCAAAAGGTCAAATCGGCAGATTCTTTTGGCATCAAACCCCGTGATGTCTCTGCAAGTGGTCCCAACATAAATCCACGGCCTCCGTCCATACAGATCGATGTTTTGGTGACTCAAGGCCCGCGTTATGAGCCGTATGACCCGTCGTCGATTGAGGGGCTAGTGGGGTCCCCGAAGCTAGCGGAGGCGATAGAAAGGACGAGACCGCGGATGGTGGTTTTTGGGCACGTGCAACATTCATACGGGGTGCTTCGCCAGGTGAGCACATCAGAGGGATCCCCCCGCTGCACAGCAGACTTTGCAGATCAAGACGACAGGTTCTTACATGTGGACGATGTTCGGGTTTGCTCCTTTGGAGTTTGCGGTCATTGTTTCTAAGAGCCCGATTCAAGGACACACCTCTTAAAGCCGGTGCGCGCATGAAAGTCATGGGGCGATGTGCAGGTACAACGGCAGTGTTAATGCATTCATCAGATTGTGTGTTGCGCAGACACAAGTACTTGGATCATGGTCAAGGACTGATCGTCTCGTATCGTAGTTGAAAAGAAGAAAGAGTGAACAAAAAGGACCGAAGTGACATTATTGTGCACTCTTCACGAGTGTCACACATTTCGACCAAGAATTGCAGCCCGTGTCGTCTTTTGAGAAACGGCGTACTAACGCCGTTGAGGAAAAGCAAGCCTGTGTCGATCGTCGGCTGCCCTTCTGGTCGTCAGCCGGCGATTCTGGCCTGGAATGATCCTCCATACACCTCGACAATGCCTTTTTTGCCTCTCGTCGTCATAAGCCCGTGGTGGCTTGGGAAGACGTTCTGCTAGGAGGCTCCGCCAGGAAGTTGGAAAGGGTTTGGGTTTGATTGCAAGTCGGTCCGACCTCCATATGGCGCAAGGGATCTGGTTTGCATCAGTCTGCAGTTTTCATTAAATGCGTTGACCTTCAAGTTCGCGGGTGTCCTTCACGACGGACCCTTCCTCGCACAGTCTCAAGTAGTGGTTGGCAAGGGGCGGGTTTATTGGGTTCGCTGCTCAATTGTTGTGGTGGTTGGAGTCTGACTAGAGCTGGTTAAGGGTGCTAACGGGGTGCCCGCTCGCTTACAGATGTACTGCCGACGGCGGGGCTGGCTGCGATCCTGCCAGGACGGGTTAGAAGAGGTTTCCCAGGAAGAGTGGCCGCTTCGAATAGAACAGCCGTCAGAAGAACAGCCTTCGGGCTCTGTATATTTCGTCAACGCCGCGTTCGTTATTCCTAGGGTCGACTCCGATGGATCACGGTACGAGGAAAGAAGACAGCCTTTATTGATTGAGCTAGAAGAAGAGGAGGGGCCCGCCGGCATCGGGCTTGCCGCGTGGGTGCACAACCGAGGTCAAGGGCCCGGTTGGACCGAGCCACTGCAATGATTACGATACTTACAGTCGTTCCGAGTTCGTCCTTTTGAGTCACTGACTGCCCGCTCTGTTTGAGATTTTACTTGGTCTTGTTGATTTGCACTCATCCCACCATGCACAACTGACGGGATGGCTAACAGCGCCCGCGAGCTGCTCCAGGGTTTTTCAATCGTCTATAGGAAAGCAATAACCGGTGACTACCGCCGGGCCAAATGCCAAGTCCTGGTTTAATTACGATTCCAGTCTGATTACGGCTTTCAAGTTTGACCATGCGCGATAGGGGGAACGCGTATCATAACGCGGCACCCCTATATACTTCGCCATGCGCAATAAATCCTTTCCGATCTTGCATGTCAGCACATCCCGGCCTCTTACACATTTGCCGTCAACGTATGCCCATGGCCGCCCGCCCGCCGGGCTATACAAAACTTTGACTGCGCGAGTCGTGTGAACAAAAGATCAACTTCGTGTTCTCAGTGATCCGGGCCGCTCAACTTGACGTGGGGAATTATCCACAAATAGACAGTTGTGGGCATGCACGAACGATCTAGGTTTAACGCGCCAGGTCATGCATATGGGACTAGATCGTGAGTACCCCAACTTAGCTGCGGCCCACAGATTTGAATGACCCGGCGTGGCGTCCAGCTTTCATCGACCGTGCAGTGCACATGCAGAGTACGATCCGACGGACTCGATATCCAATTTCTGGTCCATCAATGGTGATCGCGGACACACCCAGCGCAAGATCAATTAAGTAAGCACCCGGCATTCGATCGCGACATACGTGGTAATGCCACACGATCGGTCGATGAAGATTACAAAGCAAATGAAGCTCAATATTCTTTGAATGTCAAGCTCGCGAGGCACAATTAAGCAGGTTAATACAAAGAGTATGCTTGATTCCATCAGACTGACCATGCAGAAGACAATTCAACATTGACCGTGCATGTTATTGGGGACGGTTCGAGAATCTCCATGTACATGGCTCGTGCCAGGCCGAGCGTGTAGCTTCAACTGGTTTTACCTTCCTATTAGCGAAGCGTGAGGTCCTGTATGCGCGCGGCGGCCCATGAGGTGACTTCAGTCCTGAATCAGTCGTCCTGAACGAACTTAGCATGACTACTGTAGCTATCAAAACGCTTGCACGCATTGCCTCAAACCTCTCTTAGTTCACAATAAAACCACCTTCTACAAAGCCGCGCTTTACAGCTCAAACCTTCACATGCCTACAATCTCTCGCGCGCCGCATGACGAAACCTTGTTTCTCGTGGCTTATCAAAACCTTCGTTCCTGTGGCAAGTAGTCCACGTGACCGACTAGCCACGTCATATCGCCACGTCATAACTTAAGCCGGTGACGGGGCCGCTGCGCCCTGAGCGGCGCTCTGACCGGGGCTCGGCGCGCTCGCGCCGTTGGGGATGGGACCGATCGCGTTAGGCGGGAGCGTCGGCGGGTTAACCGTGCTAACCGGGACGGGTCCCCCGATCGCGACGAGGGGCGCCACGACCTGCACCATTTGCTGAGCCGAGCCGGGCACGATCCTAAAGTTGGACGCATTACCAGTCGGGGGCTTCTCGACATGGGCCAAGTTTCCGGCGATGTTGTCGGACCCCTGGGCGATGTTGATATAGGGAGTGGTGGCTTGGAGCGTGGAGCTGATATTGTAAAATGGCGTGGGTGTGAATACGTCGGTGACGTTGGATGCCGGCCCGGTGCCGTTGGCGGCGACGGAGCCGTTGAGCAAGGTGACGTAAGGGGTCGTCAGCTTGAATAGATAGTTGCTCGGGTCGGTGGTGGTATTGACGGGTTGGACGATGAACTCTGACGAGCTTTGGTACCGGTAGGTGGCGTTTCCGGAACCGTTCACCTGGAGAACGGAAAAGCACAGCACTATTTAGATAAGCTTCGGTGACTCTCGCCACTCCCGTGGTCAATCCAGATGTGCCCAACATCGTACGATAATAGGTCTCAACCTTGCGGAAGGCAACCGTGGGCCGAAATGAGCAAACCCGTATTAAACGGCGCACAAGGAAAGAGAAGGAATTGATTGTTCGAAGCGGTTTCTTGAGCACAGTAGATATTACCCCCTCTTTTTATGTCTTGGAATACGTCATATTCTCGCAGCCCTGGGAAATCAGGCTCAACAACGAAACGACCAGGAAACAGCAGTGCGGTGCCTCGCTTCGATAAAACCGTTATCCTCGAATCGGACGATACTTCCGTCGTCCCAACGGCACAAGGTCGATAAAGAACATTCTCGAACAAGAGGAGGTAGTGGCGCATTTTCATTCCGAGAGGAGGTTAGTGGCAGTTTTCATTTTGCATTCTTTAAAAAATGACGGTACCCACCACGATGCTGTATTCGCCGGCGTACCCACGGAATCCAAACTGGCCGTTGGCGTCGGTAGTTCCCGTCACGTTTTGCGTCCTCCACTCACGGTAATACAGGTCCTCCCACAGCTGGCCCGCGAGGCGGGGGGAGAAGTCCAGGTTGTATAGGCACTTATTTCCGGAACACGTGCCGTTATTCTGTTCCCAGTCGTCCTCGCCGTTCCAGGTTTGGGACAGCAACATTCCCTGTACAGCCGATGACGAATCTGAAGGTGAGTTTACGGACACTTGTCAAGGGACAACGTGCCGTTGATCGCTCGCCAGTCCTCCCGCCGGTCCTGGTTTGCTCTGGCAGCAGCCCGTGCGATAAAGGGGATGATGCAACTATGTCAACAATTGTTCGCACAGGTTCGACAAGATGTTCGACTGTAGAAAAGTACCCGAGATGGACAATGAAAGGCAGGATACAGAATGCCTCCACTGACAGATGGTAGAACGGCGAGTCGAGAAAGCCTTAGGTGCTGTCACCTTTTCCGAGGACAGACTACGTACCATTGCCTCTCGGGAGCCGTGAGGGCCAGACTATCCTGCCGGTAATAGTAAGGAAAGCGGCAAAACACCGAATTCTTTCACGGCAATACGACATTTCTTTCTATAGATCTCACGTCCGGCCCACAGAAACAAACTCAGAGCACTGGGCGTTCCCACATGTAGGCCAATCGCGATGCAAGGCAGACGACACTTGGACCTTATAATTTTCTGCTTTTGGACTGGCAGGTTCTAGCAATGTTAAAAAGCTCTTCCGGGTCCCTTCAGATTTTTTCAAAGTAAGGATATTTCGGGGGTTTAGGGTCATCATACAGACTACGGAGCAGATGAAATGCGGGTTTGAGTATCTTGATTGCTGCGAAGCCCCTAAACGTAAAGCATTCCTTCCGTGAAGTGGATACTTCCGTCTCACCTTGACAGCCGGGTGGGCGAACGCTTCTCTCCAGATCAGCTCCAATGAATCCCTTTGCAGTTGCTCTGAGTAGGGTTCCACTGTCAACCTGAGGTTGATCTCAGTCATCCAGATGGGGATGCCGAACTGTCCAAGCTTGTCCAGTCCGTAGCGGAAGACGTAGGGTTGGATCTGTGTGAACTGGCCTTGAGCGGCAAAGGCACTGACTGGGCCTCCCTGCAGAAAAAAAAGAAATTCTTTTGGCAGGTGTGGTTTGCAGTGGGGTTGTCCTATCGTGCTCCGCTTGAAGAGATACCTGAGCTGACGTTTTGATTCCAGGCTTTTCTTTCCTCTTGCTCTCCACCTTACCTCTGGTGCGGCGCTTGGAAGGGCGTGCGCAGATTGGACGAGAGAAGTCTAATCGTAGGTGAGGAAAGCGATGTTTCATTGGACTGACAACATGCAAAATGCCTGTCACTCAAATAGGAAACAATCACGTATCGAACGAGGGGCCGACCGCAGAAGCGACCAGGAGGAGCGCGCTTCCATTCTCAGCCTTTGAAAAGCCGCTCCGAGCGAGGGCCTTGGATCGAAACGGTCAGACAATCAGTAAATCATTCCAGTGATTGATCTCTCCACTGTTCAATGGATCCACGAGCAGGAAGCTTGCAAGGCCACCTTGTAAACCCCACACGTGCCGACTGACCTGTTGCCGCAGATACGTCACGAAGTCCATGGCTGCCTCTGGCCACACCGTGCTGTCGTCACACGCCTCGACCATGTTGTAATCGCTCAGGAACGTGACAGCTGTCGGGTCCAGGGACTTGGTCACGTTGAAGTACCACGGACGCACGTCGAACCCGAGCTTCTCGTTGAAGTAGCGCTTGTGAATGATCTCGTTGGCAGGGTCCCATTGTTTGATCGAGTTCTGCGAAGAAGTAAGCCGACTTCAGGATTCAGGGTCTCTCAAAAGCGCATTGTTGGTGTGTTTTCGCGGCCGTCGTTGGCTCAGAAGCCAGGTCAGGAAAACCGGACATCGCTTTTGGTGGAGATGTGACAGCGGGTCCTGCAAGCTGAGTCTATAATCAGATTTTCGAAGCTAAGTCAAAGCTCTTTTATGGCGCAGACGGGGTCAGACTCCTAGTCACAAAGCAGCAAAGCAGATCTCAACGGTTTCCACCTTCTTCCAGAAGAGGACACCCCCTCCGCTGTTTGCAAGTTTCAACAAACAACCCGCACAACAAACGGCCTGCCTGTCCAAGGAGAACCGTGAATGCGTGTGGCAAAGTGGCGGCCAGTCGCAGCCGATCCTGGATTGCGTCACATCAGCGTAGGAAAGGGCTGCCGCTTCAAAGTTTTGGAATTACCAATCATATCATAGTTATCTCACGTCATCAGTTGACTGCACCTTGACTCGCAAGTCAAAAAACACACAAATTGCGTTCCAACAGCAATTTTATAGCGCCAGATCTCTACGACATTGGCATTTGAACACGAGCCCCTAACTCTATGGCCCTTCATTTTAGCAAAACTAAAGCTGCTACACTAACACTATAGATCTTACTCATAAAGTCACCCGCTCCCGTACCCACATTAAACCCCCCAACTAACCCCACCCGTCCCAGGCTGGTCCGCATACTTTTGCTGAAGCTTACTTTTGCTAGATTGAAGCTTCGTCCAAAACCTTACCTTGAACGGCGTGACGACGTCATTCGCGCGGGCCGTCATGTAGCTGAAGAGCTGCACCGGGTCGGTGATTGACGTCAGCCACGGCTGCAGCGTGCCGACGTCATCCCAGAACACGGTGTGACCACGGACGGAGATGGAGTTGTTGTTGGCGTATTCTTGGAGGGCGACGAGTTTGGTGTACGTCAGATTGTCCTGGCTTGGCTGCATAGAGTACCTGCGGCGAGTTATAGGGTTAGTTTGGGGGTTTACGATAGGTAGAGACACGGAGCAGGTAGAAGGGTTTTTTACTTTCGTTTGTTGCTTGGGGTCAGAAAGGTTATCTTGGGATGGCTACATGGAGTACCTGCGGGACGTTACAGATTACTTTGGGGGTTAGAGACGAGAAGCAGGTAGATCTCCCGGAAAGGCTTTCTACTTTCGTTTCTTGCTTGGTGTACGTAGGGTTATACTGGGATGGCTGCATAGAGTGCCTGCGGAAAATAACAGGGTTAGTTTGGGGGTTTGGCGCTTCAGCATCCCCTAACCAGCTGTGGTTGACGTTTCCGAAAGGCAACGCTTGATATGGTGGACGGCTTTAATCAACCCAAATGAATCGGCTCACAATTGCAGCCAGCTTTGCATAAGCAATTGCAGCCAATTCTTCATAAAGAATTCGTTGCCCCGTGTGGCTCTTCTGAGATTCTAAAACCCTAAAACCCTAAAAAACCATAAAACCCTTAAAAGTGAATGTCGCTGCGACTTTGCGCAAAGTCTTGTCTCGGGCGACTTCCAGAACGGAGTATCGCCCTGAACGGTCGCTAGGGAAAACGACTTTCCTCGACGCCTTCCGGATCCGAGAAATAACGGGCCTTACGACACGAGCGCATTCGCGTGAGCAGTCCAACAGTAGCCGCCTCCCCAGAGGATAGATTTTGTAGTTGCAAACGGCTTTTTTTTACCAAAAAAGAAGACCTACAACTGAAGCAAACTCTCCTTAACCACAAAAGTAACGGCTTACCACTTGAGCGCATTTGCATAAGCGGTCCAAGAGTAGCCGTTTCCCAAAAACAACATTTGATGTTCTACTTGTCAGGGTCAAGCCGAACAACTGCAACCGGTTATCAAAAAATCCACAAGTAACGGGCTTACCACTTGAGCGCATCCGCATAAGCGGTCCAGGAGTAGCCGTTTCCCCACTTGCCGGCAAACCATTCGCGGTATTGCGCGTTGGTGTAGGCAACGTCTTGGAGATCGTCTCCGAAGGGGAACGTTTGCTGGGTCTGGTTGATAGCCAAGGTTGCGTTAGGAACAGGGTTACCGGCGGCATCCACGACTGTGATGACGACGTCGCGCTTTCGCACCTGCAAAAGGCCGAGGTCTGGGGCTTAGGTTATGAAACGGGTTCGAAAAATTTGCTTGTTAAGAGTGAAGGCGTCAGGAACAGGATTGCGATTACACCGTCAACTCAGTCAGGACGTTTTTGATCTGTTTCCTTTATCGGCGGAGCCGGTCAAATCTAGGCGCGTGAAAGCTTTGAGCACTGGTGGTTGACCCACTCCTACACAGAACGTCCCAGGGGGAGTGCTCCATAGCATTTCAGGGGTGACTGCTGCCAATCTTCCTACGCTTGTTTGAAAACCGAAAGAACGAACACATCCATCCTCTACGCGTTCCAAGCCCAGTTCGTTGGAAAGAGAACCCTTGGGGAGGCAGAATATAAGGGCTACAGCTTTGGGCCAGCCCAATGTCCCACCTGTCAACGACATAAGAATCGACACTCTCTCTGAAAATGATAAAGCAAAACCAGGACTTTCTAGGAGAAGCTCACATAGTCTGTCCTCTGCCGAACATCGGCCAACCAGCTCGACCGGTTCACTCCCACAACCGCAATGCTGTAAATGTCAATCTCGTAAGGGGGCGACGTCGTGTTTGTCGTCTGGTTTCCTGGCAGGGCATTCCCGGTGATCTCCACCTTGACGTCGGTCAGAGGCCCGTTGTAAGAGGGTCCGGTCATGCCTCCCAGGACGAGCGTGTAGCAGTCGGAGTAAACCACGGAAACCATCGCCGCACACTGGACGGACCAACGAGCGGAATAGTCAGAAGACGTGAGCCACTACGGGGGTTCGTACAACGAAACAAAAGGAGAAGCAGAGAATACGGGATTGGCGAGCCTCCCCAACTAGGCTGCGCAGGGAGGGCCGAGACTCGATGCCACGGAACAAGCGCCAATGGCTGAGCTGGAAATTGATCAGAACGGAACTAATAGATTGCACCAACCTTCCAGAACAGACAGTGGTATTCTTGTGTTGGTCAGGCGGACAGAAGAGAGGGGCTTGCATTCAGTGAGACGTAAGTGCTATCCGAAACCCTCTCGAACGAAGAGAGGCGCTCGACTACCGCTGACTTTCAGCGATTGCTGTTCAGATTGAACAATTGGCTCATTCTCCGGGACTTCCCTGAAAATTATTTGCAGTTACGTACTATACAAAAAATAGCTAGGCAAAGAAGCTACCGGCTCTGAAGCCAGAACATTTCGAGCCGCATTCAAAAACAGTCTTGTCTGCAAGATGACCTGGTAAATTGCCCGCACGCTTCTTCTCGCTCCGTCAACATGCTGAGTCAAAACCCCGAGGTGGAATATCCAAGAGCAAAGGACCTAACGAGGCATCCAAAGGGAAGAGATTCAACGAGACTTCTGTAATCAGGGAAGAAAGTCGCTTGCCTTGAAATCAATGTCGTTGTAGTTGAACCTCATCCGGATCTTCTCCTTAGTTGAGCCCACAATTTTGACGTATGCGCCAAGCTGCACGAAGAACAAGCAATTCAGCAATCTAGATCTGCAATACTTTCAGTTCTTGCATCTTCGAACAACACTTCCAGCAACAGGTGACCTACAGACGGTCCCCAAGAACCATTTCGTACTCCTAACACCCACGATAAGACCCTCGTCCCAAAACGACTTCAACAATTCGAATCAACGGAAAAGGGGAGGAGTCCGAAATCCTTCACCCCAGCTGGTCCTCCAAAGTGAGGTCATCGTTTTTTGTAATGGAACCGTGCAAAGTTTCCCTTCTTCCATCTATCGTCTTTTTTTCATATTCCCATCTTTCTACATTCAAAACTGCGCCGCTACAAAGGGTGCACTTTCAGATCGTTCGACTCTCGAGAATCGAGAATTTGGGGTTTTGAATGTTAGACGCCCACCTTGTACAGCGTGCCAATCTGCATCCCGGAGACATTGATCGAAACTCCGTCGGACGGCTTTGTACGGCCCCCGACGGCAATGTACGATCCGTTCCCGCCAACCGACAGAGTCTCCCCGCCATTGAGAGGCTGCCACGAACCAGGCACGGCCGTGAAGGGGGTCGGACTGTCGACGATGGTGGGACCCGCAATGGTCACGTTCAAAGAGTCGGGACACTGCATTTAAAGGCGTACCAGAGGCAGATTTCAGCGCTTGTAGAGTTCGTGTACTCGTCAGGACGACGTACTCTAGGGGCTATAAAAGTAAAGCCTTGCTACTAAGCAGGTGCTGTGATTGCGCCCTTCCATGTCGGCTCCTCTTGTTGCAACAACAGATGTGGCCGACCACAGTCAAGTATGATGGATCCTTTGAGCAGCAAATCTGCCTGTAAAATTCTGAAGAGTCTGCTTGGCGACACCCTGTTAAAATACTGAAGCGTATGCTCAGCGACACCAAACGGGTTGTTGTATCCCAAGAAGAAATTGGACACTACAAGTTGGAAAGAAGTGCACGGCTGTTGCTTTCGCAAAGCTAAGGGCGAAGTAGAAGGGTTCCAAGCATATCGCCGTTGCATTCCAGAAGAAGCAAGTAATACGGCTCTACTGACAATCGTAAGTGCAGACACGGTACGTGGTCTTGCTAACCCGAACGGATCTGTGATTAACAACGGCGACAACTCATTCGAAGGGTATTGCCAGACAAATCTCGTAACTCGATGACAAGAGCCAGTCTGGTCGAAGTCAAGCCTTTGTGCTCATCTTCACAACCTCTTTCACATTCCGGTTCTGATTGGTTTGTGAAGCGACAAGAAATATGAAGCCTCTGTCATGCTTTGAAGAAGGCTCAAAGACTTCAAAGCCTCTGCCTTGATGTACTTCCGACCACAAGAGTCATTCCAACTTCTTCACGCTTGGAAAAAATGGGGAAGCTGTGCCGTGCAAAATAAATAAATGACGGGCGACTCACGATCTGTGACAGGGGGGGTACAGCCAGGGTAATCTGCGTGCCAGCAACTGCAATGCACAAGCAGAAAAGTTTAGCAAAGATGTTGGGGAACTGTGTTTGGAAGGGACCATTTCTGCAATGATGCCATATCATGCAATGGATTTGCGTGAGATGGCAAATTTTTTGTTCCAGCGTTTCAGCGAGTCTTGGCCTCATGAATTGAAGCATATCAACAGAGTCTAATCCTGAAAATTTGTCATTCATATCCCGTCACACAAGCTTATTATCAATTCAACAAGCCTCAGTTTGAGCTCCATACGGGGTTGTTTTACAACGTGTAACAGAGACTCGCTTAGCTTCAGGAGAAGAGACTCCAAGCTGCCTTCCAGTAGCTTAAGGGTGCCAGTTCTACATGTGCTTAAAACCTCGGCTAACTGACAACCAAAGCGATCTCTCCAGTCGGACCTTGTTACCTCGCAGATTTTACGCCATTATATGCAGAGGAGAGGGCCCAGATCGTGGAAACAGTGCAAAGGCCTCACCTGGAGCCTGAGCTGCCGCAGGCGCATTGGCATTTGGGGCGGCCGCGGGACCTTGGGCAGCGCCCGAGCCAGCAAGGCAACCTGAAAGTGACATCATTCCAACATCAGCAGGTAGCTTTGTACCATTGAAGGAAATACAAGATATGACTGGCAGTGCTCTGAAGGAAATGACTGGCTGCTTGTAAACCTGGGGAGCTGCGTAATATGGTTGACTGAAGAGAGAATTCTGGAGTCCCTGACACGCCACTTGTCTTCAGAATTATGTTGGAACGAAGGAACATAGCGAGTCTCGAGAGTTCACTGCATTATACCACTAACATCAATTGAAGCTTATTCCGTCAGCAAAATTACCTCAGTATGCAGTTGATGTTTGCAGCCATACTCGAAAAGATTTGTCCTTTGAATCAACGACACTGACAGAAAACAGGCCACTGTCCGGATTGCCACTGGCAACCGAAATTAAAAAAAGCGAGAAGGGGCAAACAAAGAGGCCTCTTGCGGAAGCCTTGCCAAGAACCAACTTGATTGTGAACAAAGGATGGCAGATGCACCAGAGCATTTTGAAAACCACAGGCCCCAATTGAGTGTTCTGCAAACAAAGCGACCAGAAGCGACAGTGTCTGGGACAGTATGCAAACACCACCAAGAGCAGCTTGTTGAGCAATTGGGAGGAATCCTTCAAGAAAAACCTCTATCAGAAACAGTATCTGCAAGTGACTGAGGCCTCTGATGCATGCAGCTGGTGCTGAAACTGTGAAGCAGTATTGCTCAACAAATTTGGGAGAACCTTGGATACCAACAAGCTTCATCAATCAGTAGCTCAACAAACTGCCAAGACAGAAGGCAAGAGCCTGGGTACTGTTGACCTCTTGCTCCCTTGTCAGACTCTTGGACAGCTTTCCCAACAAGCGTTGGGTTGACAAACTCTCTTGCAGAGTATCTTATTCAGTAGTAAGCAATGCCGCAAACCTCCAAGCCCCACACAAGCAAGACTGCAGCAAAATATCTTCTACTGAAACTGACGCACAACCTATTGGCTGTACTGCCAGATTCGCAAAGTAAAAATTGGTATCCAAGTTGAGCCGCTCCAGCTCAGAAAACCCCAGTAATAAGTGGCATTGTGATAAATCCACCAAAAACAGTAGCACTGCTCAATGCGACAAGCGATTTTAGTGCAATACATTAGCGAGCGAGCCAGCAATTGCTGTCTTACCAAGCAGGACTCCAATGGTACTGCAGAGCAGCACCCAAGACACGCCTTTCTGCGCCATTGCAGCTCACGCTTTTTCGTACAGAGCTGCAATTTCCTTCCCCGCAAGAAGCTCTGTCGAATGGACACTTTTCTGCAGCCTGCAGCAGGAACGGCCAAGTCGCCTCCTTGGCGAAACTACTGCACGGCTTGCAGAACGCACAACGTTTGGGACCCTGCACCAGCTTTGCAGGGTGATTCCACGATTTCGGAACCGGAAATCCTGAGCCGAGGAGTCCCCTGGGCCTCGGCTCCTCCAGCAAGAGAGGGAGCATGCAATGATGCATGGTGTCCTGCCGCGCCAGCTTGCTTTTCTTGTCATCATTCTTGCCAATGACAGCAGCACAGCTGGCCAGGGGGATCCACGCATGCTTCTTCTGATGCATGCAGGTGGCATAAGCTCCGGACATGGCGGTACGTATGCTCTAGGACGGCTGTACTGGGACATGTCTTGTGACATGTCTTGTGCAGAGCTCTGCTGTTTGGTGCGCTGTTCAGACCTGCCTGAGACTCTAGACTCATGAAATTTGGACTAGAGACATGACCCATGCCATGATGCATGCTTTTCTATTAAATGTCAAGAGTGTTTAGGTTAGGTCAATGCCCTATCGCAACCATACCAGTAGTAGTAGCTGCCACACTTAACCGGGTTTTCAATCAAGTGTTAGAAAGTCTGATATTGTGCCGAATTTGAAGTCGTGTGAAAAATCTTTTGTACATGTAAGTACGTACCGTGTGATCTACCTAGTGGAGCGGAGTGGCGTATGAAACGGTCGAAGGACCACACACCTGGCCCCGCTGCTAATAAGCTTGACCACGACGCTTGCTCGAACCGGTGCCGGTTTTCCGGAAACGCCTATACGGGCTGTACCACCAGTACGTACCGCTGAGGGAGTGCTCTGCTTATGCTTTCAATGCATTCTTCGTGCTCATTGCAGGAACGGCCCTCGATGTGATTGGCATCAGTACCTAGGCGCGGCAGCTTGCAGAGCGGCAGGTTGATTTGCTCGAGTGGCATGGCTCTTTCGGAGTTAAGCGAGCACGTCTTGGAGGTCGTCCTGGGAAAGGTACGGGATGTTCAGGACAGAGACGCATGCTCCTTGGTCTGCCAAGCTTTTCGAAGCGCGGAGCGACAGACACGGCAGCACCTGCGCCTGCGTTGTACCGGAGGCAGATTCAGCAAGCCCGACATTGCTTCACAGGCATCACATCGCTCGATATTTCCGACGTCCTCCATTGCAAGGGGGAGGATGCGCTCGTGTACGCGCCTCCCAAGCTCTTGCATCTGGGGCAGTGCTTTCCCAATGTGCGGAGGCTGACTTGCAACTTTGGCCTGAAAAGGTGGATCACAGGCGGGCTGCCTTTCCTTGGCATCTGGACTACATTGGAAGAGGTGGTCGTCAAGCAGCTCGACCACTCAATTGCGCCGGAGTCGCTGGTCGACTGCATCGGGACAGGAACCCTAATCATGACTAACCTCAACAGATTGTCGAGCCTTGGGCAGGCCTGGCTGCCCTTGAAAAAGGTCAGCTTTCGGTCATTTTCTCCTTTAGGCGACGCGGAACTTCGCCAGCTGGCGGGGGCAGACATTGCGACTGTAGAAGTCCTTCAGTTGGATCTGCACAACCGGTGCTCGCCGGTCCTCCTATGCTGTGCAATCTCCGAAGCAATATTTCCAGTGCTGCAGGGTTTGGAGATAGGGGTCGAAACCTAGACTGAGGAGGATGAGAACCTTCCGGACCTTTTCACTGATGACAGCCTCAGCGCCTTCCTCCATGGTCTGCCTGCGATCAAGTCGTTCAAGCTTGAAATCATGGGGCCATCTTCACTTGGAACCGTCCCCTTAAGCTTGGCGCTTTCGAGGAGCCTGCGTTCGCTAGAAATTAATCTCATCGGACGTACTTCAGACGGGAAGCCAGATATTGACCTGTCGTCGATTTCGCAGTGCGATGGTCTAGAGCGCCTTGCGCTATTTGGCATAGGCCACGCAAATGCTAACAAGTTGGGTGCACAGATTCTACCCTTGCTGGAAGGGTGTTCCCTACATAGTTTACCATTGGAGGTCTGGCCAGTCCAGCAGGAAGAAATGTACCACGATTGGATTTAAGTGCTAAAATGCTTAGCGGAGGCAGCCCCAAGCACCTTGACTCATCTAAAAGTCAAAGGACCCTTGCTTGAAGTGGCAGATCCAGGGACAGTCGACCTATTAGCTCCCCTCAGGCTTCTACCCCTCAGTGAGTCTCTGAAGGGATTGGAATGTGAGTTTATCCCCTGTGCCGGATCAAGTATTCTTTTTAGAGGTTGGGACTGTCTGAAAGAACTGAATCTGAAGTGGGGCGGGCTTTGTGCTAGCAGCGGACGAGGTTCGATAGAGGTCACAATCGCTTGCCCCCAATTGAAGAGCCTGAAAGTGCGAGCTCCTACTTTTCTTGGGTTGGATTTTGAGGGCCCCCATGAACACCTTGCGACTCTAGATCTTGATATTGGTCATCATGGTATGGGGAGCCGTGAACAGGGGATTGCAAAGCTTCTTCAAGTTGGTGGGAAATATCCGAGGTCTTGGGTCTGTGACCAGCTTAGCAATTGGAGCCGACTTCTGTTTTAACTTTGAAAGCGATCCAAGGGTTACAATGGCACTTGCTAGCATCTGTTCATTAAGGTCCTTAAGATTGGGGAATTACTTCGGGTCAGATAGTACCATGTTAAGTGCCCATTTTGCCGCCTTCTCGACCTGCCTGAAGCTGAGGGAGTTGCGTATAGTAGATCAGATAGGGAGTCCTCTCTTGGAGTTATTTGGGAAGTTCTACGACCATGCTGGGCTTGAGCTTACCTAGTAAAGTCGGCTGGCGGTTGAACGAGAAGAGCAATTGAGTTCAATCAAAGTCTTTCGATTTGGTCGGCCGGCTAGGTTTTGATCGATGACTAAGAGACAGACTCAGGTCCTCTACATATGTTGAAGACTATTACTTGGATGACAACATTGAATGATTTGCTGCATGCATGGGGACAATGTACTCAACTCGAGGAGCATCCATTTGCTTGTCATCCTCTTGTGTCTGTCCGCGTTGCATGATTGTTGCGCGAGCGTTGTCTGGCATTGATGCACTCCCATGAACTAATCCGCGGGTGATCAGACGGTGCACATGTCAATATCATAGTATACTACCGCATGATGTATACCGATCAATGATAGTCGGATGGCTAGCTAGCAATTAAACGAAAGCATAGCGCGAACGGATTAATTTGATTGTATGTCGATGTTGTAGGAAAGCAAAAGACGCACTTTATATGAAGATACTGACAATTTGCATCGAATTCAAAAACCACGATCAAAATCTAATCCGCGATTTATACTAGTCATTCAATGCCGGGAAAGTATTGGCGTCACTGTCATGCATGCACTTCGATCATGTGACGCCCCGACCATGCATGAAGAAACTCGGAGCTTCCCACCGACGAAGGATCTTGATGTTCGACGTACGTTCGCCGAGTCGCTCAATCATACTTCATTTCGCGAATATTGGAGATACAATATATATACAACTAGAGACATGCAACAATCACATGTGCGAAATTTAGGTCTTAAACGCATGTCGAAGCTCATGATTGAATTGCACTGAAAGCAGGTTCTCACATGACCGTCCTTAAAGAGGGCGTATTCAGACGCATCTGAGATTAGCGACTGGAAACCACAGGATACCGCACTTTCGGTCGCCGCGAATACTTTATGACGTCACTGCTGCAGCGACGTTGACCTGGATTTTTGCCTCATCAGGGTCGCTGCGACAGCCACGTAGGCTTCTTCAACCCCAACGCCCTCTTTAATGAAGGTCATTGCACGTCGAAGACGGGCGCCTGCTTGTCATTGTTCCATATATATAGCAATATGGTTAAAGAGCACAAGTTCGGTTCGTCGTACTCAATAAGTAAACCACAATCGACGACATCGTCTACAGAGGTTTTTTAGTACCTTTTTATCAGCGTTGCCCTATTCTACCATGAGACCCAGACCAACTTAACAAGGAGACAACATCTGAGGTATGGCAACTGTCCACACTGCATCGGCCGCTTATGCAGATTGACTGACGACTTCTCAACCGAGCGCCAGGTTTGGAGAAACCCCATGAGCCAATGACTCCACCATGACCTCCGAGTTACCTTAAGTTTACTGGGCTTGAATGCTGGTAACTTACATCTAGTGCTCGCGTTGCTAATCCTCAGCCACCATAACTGGAATAGGATAGTAGACGGGACTCACAGAGACTTCCTGCGTCCCATAAATACTCATGAAGCATGGCGACCTGCCAGGTCGACGGCCCATTTTTCGTTTCTAACCTTCTCATTGGCGCAACTTTCGGGCGACTTTAGCGGGCGACTTTAGCGGGCTATGTCAAGCCGATACATTGGAGATTGCTCTCTGCCGCCCACAGATTGAAAGCGCCAAAGACCGCGCTCTGTCTACTTTTGCTTGTCGCGGTGGAGCCCAATGAGCAGCATGAAGGCGCCCCAGCGCGCGAGCACGCCGAAGAAGAGCAGCATAAAGATGCACAGCCCGTAGTCACTGATGTCGTAGTTGGCCTTCTGGAGAGCCCCGCACCGCGTCAAGAGCCACACCCCGGAATATCTGAGAGACGAGAAAATCGCCGGGTGATGTGAGGCTTCGTAACTAGTTAGATGCAAGAAGCTGACGAGTGGGAGCAGCTTACAGAACAGCCCACCGAGGGACCAACGGAAGTTCACGGACGAGTGGTTTGTCAGAATACGAGCCTCCATTGATAACTGCCAACTTTAGAACAACTGCAACTCAGTGAACACGCAGCTTTCATGGGCACGTCGACATAGTCGGTTGGGAAGCAGAGGCGATATGGCTCTCGGCAAATCAAGCGACACCAGTATCGGTTCGCAGGCAGACGACGGCTCTTTACCTCCATTGAATGCAAACCAAGTCGAAAAAGATTGTCATTGTAGAAACTCGTCGTTTCCAGCGCAGAAAAGTAGCTCCAAACATGGCTGCCCTTCAAGCACCTCGTGTCATGGGAAAATGGCCAGCCGAGATTCTGAAATCAATCTTACCTTCTTGCGTTTGCCAGGACGTACGCCTCGAGGGCCCACCGCGCAAAGCTGAGCGCGTAGAAGACCTTCACAATGCCGCCGGAGTTGCCCTTGCCCGCAATCACGCTCGCAATGAGCGTCACTACCGCAGCTGCCTGTCAAAAAACATCAGATGTTCCAATAAGGTTACGCAAGGATGATAAATCACTTGAGCGGTTGTTAAGCTTGCCTGAGCAGAGACCTAGCCTCATCTAGTCCCGAAGGAAAGGAGGAACCGCTTTAGAGCCGCACTGGCGCACACAAGAACGAGCGAGACCTTTCGGCTGAAACTTCCTGCACCTTGTAACGAAGCGTGGTCCAATCTGGTCGCTCGAAATCGACAAGCACTGAAGGTTGGACTACAAAAGAAGCACTCAAGGTTGGACTAGAAAGAACGACGTTTCTTCAAGCCGCGTTTGACCCAACAATCAAAGCCTCGAAGCACAAACAGAAAGCTTTGAAGTGCCCGTACAAACCCGGGTCCGCTTAGTCCAGACGTTGGAGCCTCTTCCAAACGACAGCCGAGCTTATATATAGCAAACGAGTCCAACCAAGCTTTGAGGAGGGGCGCCTCCCCATATTGTGACAGGTAGCATGCGTTTGATCAGCTGGATTCGGGTATTGCCGGGCATATTCGTCGCGTATTCTTCTCCTTGTTCGTAGAAGGGTTGGGGCAATAGAACGAAGGCGCCTATCATCCCTATTCTTACTTTCCGATTTGATATTTTGGGGGAAGGCGCTTACCAGCTGAGAGGACGAGGGCGGCATGAGGGTGGCCAGGACGTAGGAGACTCCAGTGACGCAGTAAACCAGGCAGATGGTCAGCCCGACGTTGCTCACGAATGTGGACCGCGGCTGGAGAGGGAGACGGGACAAAGCTTGAGTTCTTAAGGTCCATCCTGTGGGTTGGATGTACGCAGAAGCAGGAATTTACAGGGGAATATGGTGATGCGCAGGCAACGATAAAAAGGAGACGGTCACAGAGAAGAAAATTTGAAGCTGTTGGCAATCATACTCACAATATTTTCAACGGTCTGAGTTCTGGAAGAAGTACACAATGAGATAGCAAAGACGACATACATGCTGTAGGGGAACAACAAACACGTGTCTGGCAAAATCAACAAGCGGTTGACGTCAATAAACGAAGTGACGTCAGAGGCATATGCAGGACAAGCACCGACGTTTGTGGATGCATTTTGTAGCTATGCAGCTTGATACCGCCGCAGAATTACCCAGACCTCGAATCAGCTGCCAAGTCTTGAGAATACGCTGCAAATGATCGCCAATCGTCTGCATACGACAGGGGGCTTCCAAGAGGGCTTGCTGAGAAGCGTTCCGGCTTACGTCGTTGAAGAAGTAGAACAGCGCCATGTAGAAGATAGGCTTCAGGAAGATGTGGGGCCACTGCAGGCAAACGTAAGCAGATTTACAGTTAGCAGCGCAGTTCAAACTTGGGCTTTCGCTCACATGGGGCCTTCATTCCAAAACAATTGTCGGAAGCAGGCTGTGCAGCTTGCTAGTACGGAGTAATTGCGACCCTCCATGCAGGCTCAATAAAGGGCAGAAAATGCTTGACAGGTCATACAGGATTGACCTCTGATTTGAGGCGAATCGCCAGATTGACACCACATCCCAGAAGAACGATACTGCACCCTTGATAAGCATCCACACTGGATACTAGCCGGCGACTCTCTGAGAACCGTTCAGCTGAGTCGTTGCAAAGTGACGTCAGCGGAGCGGGTGCTCACGTCACTGAGGTCCTTGGCGAGGAAGTAGGCCAGCTTGTTGATGCCCGAAGCGGACTCGCGGTAGAAGTTGAGCGTGTCCAGGTTGAAGGTGCGCAGCCCGGCGATCATGGCCAGCAGAGCTGCGCCAAAAGAGGGTTAGGGGTCGGGGTTTACAAAAACAAACTATTGCAATTGTGTCGGGTTGAAATCAAGCGTGTCCAAGTTGAAGGTGCGCAGCCCAGCGATCATGGCCAGCAGAGCTGCGCCAAAAGAGGGTTAGGGGTCAGGGTTTACGAAAACGAGTCTTCTCGGGTTAAAGTTGAGCTTGTCCAGGTTGAAGGAGCGCAGCCCCGGCGAACATGCCAGCAGAGCTGCGCCAGAAAAGGGTTAGGGGCCAGGGGTTTATGAGAATCAGGATATGCAGAAATGTTCGGTTATAGTACGTTGAGCTTGTCCAGGTTAGGTCCGCAGCCCCGCCGCCATCGCCAGCAGAGCAGCGCTGGAGGGGTGCACCGATCGGGGTTTACAAAACTAGGTCAAGCACTTGCTTCGATTTATGATCTCCTAATCTAAGCACATAAGTCTTCGGGGTGGAACTTGCGGTTTGGGTGCTTGGAACTCAAGGGCCTGTCACTAAATACTGACAGACCGTTCCACTCAGGAAAGTGCCAAAGCTGATCTTAGCAAAGGGCGTTCGATTCCAAAACCCACAGGTAAAAAGTCATACCGAAAGCGACCCTATGACGGAAAACTGTCAAGCAGAGGCCGCGAAGGGGATTATCGAGCGTCTGAAGGGGACAATCAAGCGACTACGAGCTCAAGAATCGTTTCTGAAGAACGCTAACGGGGCGACATCCGCCACTCACAGACTGCGATGATGGTGTTGGTGTATGCCGTCGGGCCTCCCAGCTTGGAATCGTCGGTGGGGGTCAGCAGGCCGAGCGCGGCGCCCGTGATGAGGAGGATGACGTAATCCTGGAAGAGCACGCGCATGCTGCGGAACTGCTGCTTGCACAACCTGGAGAGCGGGTTGGGAGCTGGTTAGGATGTGGGTGAAGAAGTTCGCACGGTTTATAGAGGCAGTCTGCGCCGCGCAAAGAGTGGCTTCACATTCCTACTGTGCTCATGGAAGCAGTTAGGAAGAAACCGTCGAAATGTAAGACTTGAGAATTTCAGTGAAAGTCGCTTGCAACACATGCAGGGCACGATCACCGAGTTCGATAGCATTGCACTAGCACGAGCAGCTGAGCAGACTGGCTGAGGTGATCCTATCGGGGTGCCTTTGAGAAAGTAGGTGAGATCTCGCAGATCAGTGCGGATTTACGAAATGGACTGTGACAGATTGAGCAAAGCGGCAAAAACAACTTCCAGGCAAACTGGTCAAAGTCCGATATGGGTCCACAAGGTTCTATCAATGGGATGCCTTGACGGTAAAGGGGCATTAAGTTTCTAGGACTACCTTCTGCGTCGGCAACGCGTGACAAACTTTCGAACCAGCTGGTCTACAGTTGGCAGAGGAGCCGGACGAGACACGCAAGAGCGCTTTAAAAACTTTGAAAACACCTCTTTCAATCGTCACACACGTACCATGGAGCAAGATCAGCCAAGCGCAAAACTCGGAAAAGCGGACAATACGCACCTGGGGAGAGGTGATCAAGAACTGGCGGCCGAAACGAAACGAAGTGCTAGGAGCGCCAGCAAAGCCTGTATCGGCTGCGACAGGTCCTATCCCAAATGATACACATAGTCCTTGGACCAATAAAGATTCAAAAGCGATGGAACTCCGCGAAAGCGGACAAGTACGCACCTGGAGTACATGGTGAAGAACTGGCGCCCGAAGCCGGGGGTGACGCGGCCGGAGCGGTTCTCCTGTTTGCGGAAGATGTCGGCGAAGTCTTCGAAGTTCTGCCTCCACTTGGCCGACATGTCCTGGATCATCTTGTTGCCGAAGCTCTCCGCCGCAACGATCGGGTTCTGCAGCGGGAAACAGGGGCGCGTGTCAAGACTGCATCCATCTGCTGTGTTTCGTAATCCTGCGTCGTAAGTGTTCCAGGAGTGGAAACGCACTCGATTTGGTCTGACCGTTTCACTCTCGAAGGTCTCCGGTTGGAAGCAACTCAATACAGAAGAGAAAGACAAGGCCAGAAACTGCGAGTGCTAATGTCTCCCTCGGCTGGATGGCCTCCTGATGCATGTTGACACGTCCATTTCCTTCTGTTGCTTGAAAACTGCGGGGTCTTTGTGGTGTCTTTGATTTATATCTCTCATGGACCATTCCGCTCATGAAGCAGGTATTGGCAGGTCAAAAACGTGGAAACACAAAGGAAAACCGGGTTGGAAAGCAGCAGAACTTGGCGGGGAAATGTGATGAAAGAGAAGAGAAACCTGCATTGACATGGTCGAAGCGGCGCAGCATCTTGTTGGCCTTGCCACTGCCAGGGTGCCAGGATGGACACGTCTCTGACGGGAATTCTCACTTGGCCCAAGCGCAATGAAAATTGCGGCGAACCTAGCGGGAAAGGACGGAAACGGAAAAGAAAAGAAAAAAAACAGAATAAGAGCTGGGTAATAAGTCAGCGGAAACAGCGCACCATCTTGATGTGCTTGCCGGTGCCGGGGTGCAAAATGAATGCGTCATCCCTGATCGGGATCTCCACCTGGCCGAGGCCCGACTCGGAGCGCCCGGGGCGGCTCTGCGTCTCGAGCCACAGCTCGGGCAGCCGCTTGATATCGAAGTTCTCCAGAGTGGACGGGACCTCGCCCGCGAGGACGTCCATGTAGTGGTCCGGGGGGTTCACTCTGTCCGGGATCTATGCGAGAGAATTGAACAGATCAGTATCAAGAAAGACCTCTATTAATTTGGGTCGTTCTTTCTAGTTGCGGGTCTGAAATGAGTGCAATTTGAAACGAAGAATCGTCAGAATGAGGGGAACCCCGCCCACGAGCGCATCCATGTAGTGGTCAGCGGGGTTTACTCTGTCCGGGATTTGCACGAATCGATGCATTCGGGTTCTTAAGAAAAAAGTTATCAGGTATCAACTTCAAGGCGAGCTTAGGTTATTGGCGGTCTGGAAATAGTGCAGGAAACCGTCAACATGGACAGTACCCTGCCAAGCAAGACCGTTCACGCAACGGTGTGTCTTGAAAGAGGTGTGGCTAAAACTCAAAACCATCAAGTCACCAGATGAGCAATAAATAAAACCGCATATTAACTTGAAGCTCTTACAATAAAGAATATTAGGAGGGGCTTGGACTTCATAACAGTCTGGTGCACAGCCAGACTGTTATGGCAGTGGAAGACAAATCAAGACCAACGACCTGCCCAGTGCTTATGAAACGCGCATAGCTTATGGGCTGCTCACCGCGAAGCCCAGCGATGCGAAGTACTCCTCGGCCTGTCGGACAGGGCCCAGGTACACCACCTTCCCGCCCGGCATGAGGAACATGACGTCATGGAACATGTGGAAGAGTTTGTACGACGGCTGCGGAGACAAGCGGACATGACGTCAGCTCGCTTGAAGTGGGGGACGAGTCAGTTGCAAGGTAGGAAAGGGGTCGATAGGTCACTGGAAACCCGCCCAGTCGGAGGTGATGCAGCACTTGGGTAACGCACTGTACTTGTCAAGCTGTGCACTGCCGTGGGACATGATGTGTATGTGGAAAAGCATTGCGTGCTAGAAGAAAGCTGACAAGTCCCTGGATGTTGCAATGGGTCAGAGGCAACAGAAACTCAAGTTGCCAGGGAACGAGGAAACAAGGGACTAAGGAAAGTCTTTCGGCAATGCTTGCCTCCCTTATTGACATGACATGTTCCTAAAGCGGTAAGGCATCTTTATTCGTGATCCTTTTGGCCAAGATCCTTACCGGGTTGACCGCGTTGACCGAGATCGAAACTTGAGCGAGTAACCCCCTACTAACCCCAGCAAATTTCTGCTTCGAAAGCGAGAACCCTTGACCCCATAATAAACCCTCCATCGCAAAACTTCCAAGGGGGAGGACATTCTAGTTTGGGAGCGGTGAGTTACCTGATGGAGCACGACGCCGATGTTGACACCGCGCAGCGCCTCCTGCCTTAGAGCCTGCGCACAAACTCATGTGGATGAGCAAGATCCGACGGCTGTGGACACAGTCTCTCTATTCAGCATCATCATCGAGCGAGAAGTTTGCACCGCGGCTCGCATCCGCAGATGCACCTCCGGTGTTCTTTTCAAAGTTCCAACCATACCACGAGATCCGAGAGATGCAAGCGATTAAAGCGAGTTTGCTCAAGACTGTTCCTTGCAACCACGGAACAAGAAAGTGGCTCCTCGAGCCACGCGGACACCATAAGTGCTTTCTAGTGCAATGGAGGACAGCTCTTAGCCTCACCTGCAGCACTTTGAAGGAGGACGTGGAATCCAGCCCGCTCGTCGGCTCATCCAGGATCTGCAATGAAAACCGTGGTTAAGTTCAGAAGCACCAGCCGGGCGCTTCACTTTTTCGCCGGCAAGTCACTAGCACTACAATGAGTTAGAGAGGACGATGCTGCGGAAACGGCAACACAGATATGCTGAACACCGTTCTTCATAAAGGCTCCGAGCCTAATCCTCCCAACACAAGGCCGGGACTAGAACATCAGAGGCTCCCTGATGCTTTTGAAAAGTTGGCAGACAAAAGACAGTCGCGAAGTGATGTAAAGCGCCAAGAAAGGAGCAAACGTCGTCCTCTACAGACAGTCCAGTGGGAAGACAAGTGCAGATGCTCTTACCAGCAGGCTGGGGTCAATGACCATCTCCAAGCCGACGTTGACTCGCTTTCGCTGCCCGCCGGAGATCCCGCGCTGCTCCACGGTCCCAACACGCGAGTGGCGGATATGGTCGATGCCCAGCGAGATCAGGGTGCGCTCCACAATGAGCACTTTGTTGCGCTTGCTCATGCCACGTGGCAGCCTGCAAGAGGACAACACAACTGAGTTGTCGTACGTTTCGTTATCAGTGTCTTGGTTGAACGGTCGGAGATTCGGCATGTGGGGTTGTGGGAGTTTTCCATGAGAACACTGGTCCCTCCGGTAAACGGGAAGAATGTCACTGGTGACCGATTGCAGTGGTTATGGTGCAACAGACACCGAGGAGCCCTTTCGAAGGATATAGCGATAACGCACCAGGATAGATAAGCGCCTTACACCGTCGTCAGAACATATCACAACGAGAAACAGCTACGAGATCCTGCTCAGCAGCCTGTAAGCTTGGAGAAACATCGAGTATAGCTCGACTAGTATTACTGAACACCATGCTGGTTGGGCCGAGCAATAAACCCAAAGCCAGCGCAACCCCCCTTCTTCGCAGTTGGCACTGAACAACAGGTTCTCACCCACAACCAGGTTTCGAAGAAACCCCGCGCTGAGATCGACGATTGAATCTAGCTCCCCAATCAGTCACGCCTCACCCATCTTAGGTAACGCGAGCGCCCCCACCTGTAGTTGGCGCTGAACCACAGGTTCTCCTCCACGGTCAAGTTTCCATGCACGATGTCGTCCTGTGGCACAAAGCCGATGATGCGCTTGTATGCCTGGATGTTCCCCGCCTGCCCGTTGATCAGCACCTCGCCCGTCATGTTGCAGTACGTCTCCTTGCCGGCCACTGCAGTGAGGAACATGGACTTGCCCGCACCAGACGGCCCCTGCATAGATGATCAGCCAAGTAGGCGATTTTGGCTTAGCTCTTGGGATCAAGAGCTGCTTTTTAGTGTTTCAAAGTGTGAATTATCGTGTCTTATTTGCAGTTGCCAATGAATGGGCTATGAAAGAGTCTTTAGCGCCTGAATCGTTTGTGTCTTTGTAATATGCATGTCGACGCTCTTTCCGCAATTAGTTTCTTATTGTTTGTAGGCGCTGTTGGGAAATCAGCCCAAATAGGGCTTCATACTTGGTTGCCAGATGCTATGGAGGGGCCCACTCCTGTTTCTGCACTCATTCATGCTGTCACAATGGGACCGCAGGTGTATTCTTATTTGCTCGCTGTTCCCCCTTATTCGAATACGCGCCAAATGCTTTGGTTCGCTCGGATGGCTCGTTTCGGGAGAAGTTTGCTCGTGACCATCGAGTGCCCTTGGGTTGCATCAAAGAATGTTGACGTTGTCCGCTCAGCACCAGGTCTCTCTCATCAAATGACCCTGCCCTTGCGAAGTTCCTTGGCTTTTGAGAGCCCTCTTATTTCAGAAAGAACGCTTGATGCACAACAGGTATGTTCCTTGCAGTTGATCGCTGCTCAAGAACCCTGAAACCCCCCAACAAAACACGTTCCATAGAACTCTGAACCCTGACTACGACTGCTGAGATGTATCTGGAGCTTCGCAATCCCGCTGACAGTCGCCTCATACCGCGATCTCCCAAGCCTCCAGAGAGGCCAAACCCAAGGCACTGGAATCAACGGCGTGGGAGTCCTCACCATGACCGCTGTGACGCGGCCGGGCTTGAGGATGCCGCTGATGTTGTCGAGCAGCTTGCGGCCGTTGCTCTTGAGAAACAGATTCACCTCGCGGAACTCCAACTCCAGCTGTATGCGGATCTTGCGCCCGGCCATCGGGCCCTGCATGACGACAGACAGTTTTGATGAGCGGACAGAATCCACAAAAGCACGCATCTCAGTTTCATCCACGTATCTGCATTTCGCACTCTCTAATGAAAAAGCAGTGTCATGTCCAGTCCTGTCTGATTGCGGACTTGTAATAGTGCCCGACCGTGTTGCTCCGGAGGGGGCGAAAAAACGACTTCGATGACTCGAGGACCAAGAGATCGAGTCCTCCATGTACTCTGAGAGTGCAGGTAAGACGACGTCAGTGACTCGAGGGGTGCTCAAAGAACGCCCTCTCCGCAAGACGACGTCATCCTGGTACTCATTTCCTGTTTCATTGACTCCAATGATTACGGCCTGGGCTGAGGTCCGACTCATTGCCTCACCTCCTTGTTCAGGATGGTGTCAAAAAGCGACTCGTCGGGAGAGCGCGCCTTGTTTTGCCGCGCGAGCTCCTCGTACACGTCCTCGTAGTCCACCTTCTTGTTGCGCTTCGTCATCTCAACCGCGGGCGCGGGGGCGGCACCGTAAAGGTCGCCACCCGCTGGGGCTCCGTACAGGTCACCCGCAGCTGCAAAACGATTGGGGGCTCCGTCAGGTTCAAAACATAGTTCAAAAAAAGAAGCAGTTTTGAAGTGATGTAGAACCAACTTGGGAGTGAAGACAACACCAATTTGGGAGTGAGAATAGCACCAATTTTAGCCAAGTTGGAAGTGGAAGAGAGAACCAAGTTGGGAGTGAGAACAGAACCAAGTTGAACCAAGCTGGAAGTGGAGACAGAACAGAGCTAGGAGTACAGACAGGACCAAGGGTTGCGTACAAAGAACCAGAAGGTGTGAGGGGACATGAAAGCAAGCTGCGAATGGAAACAGCATGTTTGGTTGATTGAAATCCATCAAGAGCTTGTGAAGGCATTGTGCAACTGAGTTCCTTGCGGCGTTGAAGAAAGTGCTATACAGATGATCGCGTCTGGCCTCAGGATCCATGGTCTTCCCAATCTGCTCCACGGAAAAACAGACTGCTGGTGACTGGAAGATTATGCAACTTACAGCCAGCCAGATTCAACGCAAGACATTTGTGCCTGCAGCAAAACCAATGCCGAGAAGCAAAGCATGTGACGCAAGAATGTCAGAGAAAGTGCCCAAGTTGTCAGGCTCACGAGAGGAGGCCTCTACAGGGACGCCGTACAGATCGCCGCCGGCACCCGCCATTGGCGGTGCGCCGTATAGATCACTGCCGTTGCCATAAAGGTCGTTGGAGGGCCGCGCGGGGGGATAACCATCTGCTCAAGAGGACAAGGAACTTACTAGGCGAACGGTGATAACCAAAGTATTCTGGGATAGGCTTGCAAGTGGACAAGAGACACAGCGCTGTTTAGGCATACCGTCTGTACGAAGGAAAGAGCATCACCCTAGATGGAGGAATCACGGTTGAATGCAGTTTTGACTGCACAAACGACTCTAAAAGCAGGTCACCAGGTTGAGGAGGCACAAGAAGTAGCTCCTGTTGCTTCCAACCTTTTCAACAGCTGATAACCACCCTTAGTCGAGGCCAACACAACGCTTTACTTGGTTGCAGGAAACACACATGAAACCGCACAAACCCATAACAGTACCTGAAGAACAAAAGCGCCCGATCTTTCTTGCTAATGCACACAGCACACTCAGAGCGGGACTACAGTGAAAGGCGCTTGCTGATACGGGGCTTAACTTAACTGATGTTTTCCGCATCATTCTGCACCACAGTCCACAAATCCTTGACACTTACAGCTGGACCCGGTCCGGCTTCCCGCTGTGGTTGGCCTGGTAATCCCTAGCTCCTTCTTCTTTTTGCGGTATGCATCGATGAATATGCGTCCCGCACGTTGCCACCGCTCACGAGCAAGCTGGCGTGCGCGAGCGTGCTGCTCAGAGCGCATGCGGCGCTTCTCGACTTGCTCGAGGCGCCAGTTGGTGATGTAATCAACAAGGTAGTACGTGATTGCAAGCACGATCAGTAGGAACACCTTCAGAGGGGCGACAGGGGTTGGTTGGCTGGAAGGACGGGTCACATTCTAAGCACAGGATTTTTCACAAATAGGTGTCTTGTAGCGCTTCTGAGAAGCCAGGCTAACGTGTCTGCTGTAATCTACTCATGCGCAAGCAAGCACTACGAATCAAACCAGGAAAAATCTGCCAAGAATTGTAATGGCTCTGAGGGTCTGGCCCAGGAGTTGGACGCTGATCGGGAACATTGCAAACTCTACAGACACGGCAAAGAGAGGGTTCTCCCCTATCAGGAAGGCTGTTGGTAGAGGCGGGATACCACCAATAGCGGACGTAAGGCCATGAGATGTGACAATGCTCACGAGAGGCCCAAAGTATGCAACTACCCAAGCCGCGATCTGAAATGCTTGCAGTCGTCATGCACAACCAATTGCCAGGGGCCTCAGGAGACATGCTCAAACACTGCGCAGGAACAAGACACTGACCAGGACTGCATCCAGACCTACGCAAGGAAAGAGAAGGTAGCCGGTGAGTCAACAGCGCCATATCAACCTCATTGGTTTAAATCGACAGCTCGCAGAGGCCATGATTGTGCTGCCAAGCGGCCAGGGGGCGCCGCAGCGCAAGCAGCCAGGCAAATTCCGGTATCCTTACCACAAAGCCGATGCCGGCCCCCTTGAGATCCTGCTGGAATTCCCCGGCCGGGCACGACGCGAGCCCCGAGCACTTCTTTGCAACCGTGGTCCCCTTGCGGCAGTAGTAGCCGGCGGGGCACTGAATGCTCGACGTCACGTTGAACTGGCCTGACGCGAAAGGGCAGTACGCGCCAGCGTCGCAGAAGATGCCGTCTCCTCGGTTTGATCCTGAGGCGGCGTTCCATGTTGAAGCTCCCCCACAACCGATGAAATTGACCTGGTTTGGTGGGTCTCCTATTACCCACGGGATGGCCTGATAGGGGTAAGGGACGCAGAAGGGCCTCCCACGGGACGAACCGTCGGGGGGTGGATTCTGGGCCTTAGGGCAGAAAGCGCCCTTGGGGCAGGCTGAAAAACAAAAGAAAAGGGTTTGGGTTAGGGAGGTCAGGGGTGGTATTGTACTAACGACTGGTTAGGTTTGCGTCCATTCAACAGACTTACGGGCATGGTGCAATGCAAGGGTGACCAGAAGCGAAACGATAGGGTGAAAAAGGAGATTGTATGCATCGCAATACTCAACTTTCACTTGCTGGATAAGGGGAAAAGGTCTGTTGAGAATGTGGATAGGACTAACCCTAGCTCACTTGCTTAGAGGACTTGGTTAAGAACCTGTATCCAGTTAATGCTGCAAGACTGGATTACACCTGAAAATAACGCAGGTCGTCCAAGCTCGTTGTGCACGACGAGACTTACACATATGAGAGCAAAGTTTTGCACCAATCATACAATCATTCCCTTGACCTCTGTCCAGAGCAATATAGGATGCAATGCAGGAGAGAAGTGGCAATTGCGAGGCGAAGAGTGGCCCTCGACACTTACGGATCATGCACGCCAGGTTCTCAGGGCAGAAGAAGCCGTCACAGCAAGCATAGGCGTCAAGGCCTGAGGAGTCGGAGACTGCAAGAGCGTCTACTCTAACCGGCTCCCCCTCATCATCAATCTGGAACCTGGTGTTTTCTGTCCAGGACGCATAACCAGGCGAGCACCCGGCCAGGTAATTTTCTGGATCGTTGGGGTCGCAATTCGCGCTGGTTGCAACCTTCCCATCAACGTTGCTGAAGTAGATAGCAAGCTCCGCTTTTGTGCACAGCCTGCCTGCTGTTTTGCTGGCGGTGGTAGGAGGATTTATAAGAGGCGGACCGTCTAAACGGTTAATCACGGTGTTCTTGTAGCGCGTGGCGCGGCAAACTCTGGGGCTGGGGTCCGTAGCGTCGAAGCCAAAGGTGTCTTGCTCGTCTTTTTGGCTGCAAACACGAAAGAGGTGGATGGTTTGTTGCTCGTCCAAGATATGCTCGTTCTGTACATCAGTGGTTGCAGTGTACCATCATGCGTCCTTAGTAGAGAGACGCAATGTGCTGTAGAAGGCACTCCATTGCAAACAGATTATGTCAACCAAGTGCTTCCTGAGTAGCAAGCAGAATAGCTGGTAAAAAGAGTCACAGCAAATATCAGGTCACAGATAAGAAGCCAAAGCAAGAGCTGGTAAAACAATCCAAGCACGTATGAGGTCACAAATGAGGAGAGGAGCCAAAGCAATGGAACTGGTAAGAAGAAAACACTCCTCAAAAAACTAGCCTGCTATACAAAGAGGCAAGCAAACCTTTCGCCTGTCCTCAAGCACTGGCACTGCCGAGAGCAACCACTGCCGAGAGCAACCTGCTTTTCAAGCTTGCATCTTGAACACCTATCATTGAAGTTACGCAGTCAAGGCGAAACTCCATTTCCCTGACCTGACATTCATTCATAAATTGGAGCCCTCTATCCTTGGCGACGAGCAAAACTCAGACCCAACAGCACTCCGAGAGTGATTTGGGAGAATCCTGTCATGATTATCCTTGGAGCAAACCTACAAACCCAATATGAAGTCTGAACGGAAGGAAATGATTGCCTCGTAGTGTGGAAATGTGGAATGAATTTCGAAATGCAACAGCATTTGCAAACTTACCCATTGGCGACGCAATACGGGAAGAGCTTCTTGAGCTGGTCGCCCAGTTGCTTCCCATAGAGGTCAGAAAGGCTGGGAGCATTGTTTTGTGAGGTCTGCGCGGACGCCACATCAGTTGCAACGAGCAACAAAGAAAGACAGAGCACCCAGCTCCACGCTCCAACGTGCGACGCCATGTCTTCTGCAACTCAAGAAACTCACAACTCCTGCAGGGCCGCTACGCCCAGGACACCATAAATACCTAAGCACAATCAAGTGAGCAGGCTTGGTCAGGCCTCAGAACGCCCCTTTCAACTTTAAAGGTCAAGAGTCAAATCCAAAGCTCGCTGCGCCCTGACAGTGAAGAAACGTGCGGCAAAGGTAGTCCTTTCTCCAGGACCAAGTACTACCTAGTAGTAGTACTTCCTAGCTGGACACCATGTCAAACGGTGGACTTTGCCTGGAAGGGTGCGCCTTCCTCCAGGACCACAGATTACTAGCTGGCCAGAAACTGTGATGACGTTTACGGTTTGACACTTGCGGAGGGAGTTCCTTGCCGCTTTGCTCAGTGGAAGGTGTGCCGGTATGTGCCCCAGGGATCTACCCCAGGGGAACAGGACCCTCCCCCGGGGCGTATCACCGGTAGCAGCATCCAGACCCCATGCCCTTGCCCGGTATTACGTGCCGGGCTGATACCCGAGGGCGTAATGATTATCCGGGGGGGACTTTGCCCCCTGTTCTGCGCCCCGCTCGTCATCCTTTAAATCTTTAAAGGTGCATCGTCCTCAGCTCTGGAGTCTGAGCTCGTCAATCATGAAAGTCAATCGTACGGATCCGTGGGATTCCGTGCACCTATTTTTAATGCACACATTTATTGATTCCCCTGTAAATATCAGGTGCGATCGAAAAGGGGTTTGAAATTCGAAACTTCGTGCAGATCCGCGCGAATGAAGACCCGAATTGCTTCTATTGATACACAATATTAACTGTGAATAACAGGAGCGGGTCTGCGGTCCGCCTGATAAACCAGAGTTGCTGGACGTAGGTACGTAAGTTTACTGGTCTCAACTGCGACGTCATCATGGTTAGAAGCCTACCTTAAACTAAAACCCTAAGGTCAAGCTGAGAGCAGTAACCCGGTTTCAACGAACCCTAAGGCGTTCCGCCATAGCCCGCCCGCACCCACCCTAACCCCCCAACTAACCCCACCAAGATCAGTGGTTTGCCCTCTGGTAACCCTAACATCCCCCGACCACTCCGCCTCCCTGTAATCGAGTAACCGGTTGACTTTCGTACGGTACCAACCAGTTTTACTTCGGTACAGTACCGTCGCTGTGTAGGCTGTAGGTACCGGTGATGTCACGCTGACGTTGCAGTTGAGACTAGTAAACTTACGTACTCTGCTGGAGAGGGTTCACATTGGACTTTCGATCAACTTTCGCTTTGTTTTGAGATGTACCCAGATGACGTGTGCTGACGTTGTAGCAGCGAGTTCTGAAGTTGGGTTCACATTGGGAACACCGCTGTCGAATGCATCATCAGTTTCGGCGGAGACCACGTGTAATCACGTGGATGTACAAAATGGTACACTTGGTACACTTTGACGTCATAACTTTCGACCGAACTGCGCAAGAGTGATCTGAGCCATTCGATCGCTGAGTCGGACGTCATAATCGTAAAACATGTTTTCGAAAGGCGGTCGCCGACCGCCTTTCGAAAACATGTTTTACGGAGGACATTTTAGTACGTTCTTCGATGCCGAAAGATTTTTGATGTTCGTAATTTTGACCGTTGCCAAAGCGCGTTCCGGACCATGACGTGTGCTTCCGTCATCGCAGTAACTTCGTGTTTTCGAAGAGGGATAATCTGTTCCGCAAAGTTCAATGTGAACCCGCTCCTGGGTTCTAGCCAGGTATCGATGCAAAGACACCAATTCAGTGGTAATTCTGCCGGGCTCTCGAACTTGAAGACACGTTGACGGAAACGGTCTGTACGTCATTGACTCTGCGGCTGTCCAATCATTGTATCACGAAATGAGTCACAAGAAGCAGTGTTTACCACGAACCGACTTGCAGTGGTATTGCGACCGACCAAAATTGAAAGTGACCGACTCCAACGAGTGTGGCCGGCCGCAGGCCGGCTGGAAAGCCGACCACTATGAAGGTGGTCGGCTGCCCAAACCGGCCTTTTCCTGAGAAGTCGGTCCCAGCCGGGTAGGCCAATAGTGGTCGGTAGGCCTTTTCTCAGACTTTTGGCACTATTTGAACCTTCAGAGACCTTGACACTAGGCCAAAGTATGGTGGTAAGGATCGAGTGACTTTTGGGCTGTAGTGTCACACTTAGAACTTGCGGATTAGTGCTCTGGCCAAGCAGGGCCTACTGTCAGTGGCAGAATTCGCGCCGGGTAACCGACCCAAGAGAGCGCACCCGGCCCACAAAAAACCGACAAAAATGAAGGTGGTCGGCCCGGGCAAACCGACCAACGGCCTCTTCCAACCGACTGCTTCAATAGGGACCCTCTGGGCAGCCGGCTATCTCAAATCTTCGTGGTAAACACTGTCAAGAAGGCTCGAGCTTCATGAATCGTTGGATGCAGGGCCCGATTGCTGATTGACGGCGCCAGCCCGTCTGCTTTTGTCACGTGGTTGGATTCCCAGCTCAGGGACGGATCTCGCGCGCGTAGCTTTGTTGGACGAGCTATCGGAGACCTCATCAACATGCACTGTGACTGATGCAGGTTGCCTGCAAGCTTCAGAAATTACTGTAGAAAGGAGAAGCGTCGTTTCCAAGTCTCAAGCTCGGTAACCGAGTCCATTCAAGGTTGATTTAGAGGTTGCAACATCACATACACTCAATTTGTGTGCCATGAGAAGCTTATGGCCATGATGTGGCTACGACGCGTAAAAGAGAAGATCATGCAGATCTCACAAGCTAGAGGATGAGCTACATACTTCGAGATTGATCATGAGCCTATACAATGCGCCGCTGGAAACAAGTTGCCTGGACTTTGGGAAGATAGTCATTGGCGACGCTTTGGACAATTGCCGCTTTCTAAAACTTGACATAATTATGGTACATGATAGGTTTCGAGCCCTTCGGTGTCCGAGCTTGTTATATAACACAATATTGATTGTTAAATCACTTGCTGATTAATTGGAGGCCATTCAACTGTTGCGAGCCGATCAAACAGTGCCACCGCACAACACGGTATATGTGAGAACGACTGTCAGTAAGACAAATCCTATGGGCACGTGCACGTTACTGAATTGGCTTTTGAACTACACGTACTGGCTTTTGAAAACGGCCGCATGGCCGCTTTGGCAACCTGACGTTCCAATGGCGCACATGCAGTATGTACTAGAAATGATCAAGTGCACGCGGTGACAATCAGCTTCGATCCTTGACCAGATGGAAGATTTAGTTGATACAGATATCATAGTACCATGATTGAATCGCAAATTTAACCTCCAAACGCAGTGAGTTCCTTCAAGAATCAAAGCTACGGTCTGCCACTGGGACAACTTGAAATGCCACTTCTAGTCTGATATTGAACGAGCCTTCGGACGCAACTTGCCAGTTATGCAGCGAAGGGTTTCTCTCCAAGAGTGATCTCGAACATTTTGGCGGCCCGGCGGCATCATCTTACAAGCACATCCTCAACTCAACAAGTCAGTAAACGAATGTATGCATGGCGTGGGCACACGCGCCGGACACACGCATCATCAAATAAGAGGCTTGTGGTCGAGAAACTGTAAGATTCTCTTGGCCTGGCCCGTTTTTCGCGCGCAGCCAGGACTCATACATATATAGATGCCACGCTCGCTTAGCTTGAGCCCCGCTTCAGCCTCCTCCTCAATCGACGATTGTCCATCGCCGTCTTCGCTCAACCAAGAAGCCAGGTTCAGGGGAATCTCAGTCGACCTGCGGCCCAGGTAAAACTTCAGTCTGTGTCCGATTTCGTGCTTAGCTGGCCTGCATTGGCAGAGTCACCACTTCATATCAGTCAGTGGCAATATTTTAAGAAGACTGATGTCAGCGCGCACATAGCATCAGTGCAGATCAAATTGTCCTCTATTTTCAGTCTGATAATGATGCACCGAGTCTCACTGAAAGCGCCCAAATGCATCCGCAAAAGGCCGCCAGCGTACTTGTAGGTCGGACGCTTTATACCTTAAGAAATGTAAGCTCAATCTCAATATGATAAGCGTCCACGACCTTTCTGGTATCCCCCGGATTCAGCTGCGCAGGCCAACAGGCTGCCCAAACGTCCAACGGCCTAACACGTCTTCTGCTTTCAACAGCAGCGGCTCGCCCACTGGTCGAGCTGCAGCGTTCCAACTGCCATACCTGGCTCGTCCTCGCGAAGTGATTAAATAAGATACGCAGCCCAATCAACCTCATGATCGCAAAGGACGGCGGCCTGACGTCAGCCAATCAGACCAGTTCGTCAGGCACGGAAATTTCCCTGAAAAGCCCCAGAAGCTCACCTGAACATGATCCAGCTCGCGCTTAGGCACCTCATGTTCCACCGGCCGTACGCTTCCGCCCGCTCAGCAAGGCCCCTCGACTGCGCACACGTCCACCTTTGAGAAGCGCGCGCGCGCGCTCGTGCGCACGGGGTAGGCAAGCACAGGTGGGAGCTCCCAGGGGTGTGTAGCGAGCGCAGAGGTAGTATGGCACAAGTCTCTGCATGAAGTAGCCTGGGGGCTGTGAGGGGCTTTGACTTTCAAGGTTTTGTTCAGTCGCTTTGATAATGTTCGAGAGTGCATCAATACCGAAAGTAGACCGAATTGAGTTATAAACATCTGTGGATCGAAACGAGCTAGTCTTGTGTGCAGTCTGGTGAGTGTCAGCCAATCCACTTTATCTTTTTACAACAAACACTAGTAGGCTAGGTGGCACCAGAGTCGAGGTTTGCGTTGAAGCCATCAGAGTGCCCTGTGACCAAGAACAAATCCACCAACCACCAGACATGTTAATTCCCGTAAATAGGTGTTGAGAAACCCTTCTCCACCAGGCTGGTTCTCTGTGTACTCAACTTTTGAAACACATATGATAAGCCCCTCGCTTCAACAAGAGCAACCAGGTTGGTAAACAAACGGCGCTCAAAGAGCAGCTCTTTGCCCCACCTTATCGTCTCTGGAGCTGCCTTGTATCATCTCATAATCCCTCAGATCAATGCCGCTTCCAACGCCTCTTCCGAGAGCTCCGCGTCATCATCCCCCTCGTTCAGCCCCTGACCAGAGTCCCGAACAGCCCCGTTCTCCCGCCGCGCCTTCTGCCCCGCCCGCCGCCGCGTGTTATACGCGTTGCAGCACGCCTTGCACTTGTCCTGCAACCCGTCCACTGCGGCCCTGTTCCTGTGAAACTCGGCCACCGCTTTCTCCTCCCCACACTCGATGCAGTGCTTGGGTTGCGTCCGGGCGAGGACCTCCGCATCCCTGTGCCGCCGGTACAGCTGTCGGCGCCTCTCCGAGAAGCACTGCTTGCAGATCACAGCACGGCCGCGGAGGCGCTTCTTGTCCAGCGCAAACTCGGCCCCCGGCTTTGTTTCCCCACAGCGGTTGCACGGCAGGGGGGTGCTCTCCGGTGCCGGCAATCGGTCCGGCTGCTGACGCTCCATCTGGCACTTGCAAGCCCGGCAGTAGATTTCGATGCCCTCGGCCTTCCTGATGTTCCGCCCAAAGTCACGCAGCTCCTTCAGGATCCCACAACGAGCGCAGCTCTTGGCCCGCTCCCAAGACTCCTCGACGTTCAATGATAGGTGGTGCATATCAACGCCAACGCGCTCTGCTCGGATAGCCGCTAGGCACGCGCGGCACAGGTCACTCCGCAAGTCGGAGCCGCGCCTCTTCTCAAAGTCGACAATATGTTTGGAGTGAACGCAACTGGCGCAAACTTTTGAGCTTGCTTTAGTGGCGCGAGCAAACACACCATCAGGCTCCAGCACTTGGCTGGTTGTCGACTTCTGTCCTAAAGCAACTGCTTCCTCCTCTGTACGATCAAGCTGCTGACTGATGGTTGAGGCGAAACCTTTGATTCCGTCCCTGCGAAACCTGGCCGCATTTTGCTGGGTGGATATGAGGCGCACCGAATGAAACCTTAGGCCCACAGGCTGATGAAAGATTCCTACTTTCCGGGGACTGCTGAAGCGAATGCAGATGGCGCTGCCGCTTGATCCGCAATTAGATAGCAAAGTTGGATTGCACCAGTATTTGCAGCACTTGGGAAAGGACCTGCGCATCAGACGCGCACCACCAAATGTGGTGGCACTTTTGCAGTAGGCCTGTGCAGGCATGAGCTTTGCCTTCTGCGAGAAACGGCTTGATTGGACAATGGTGGAGGCCATCCCAAAAGGCGAACGATCAATGCGGCCCGCCATTGGCATTTGAGGGAGGCTCTTTCACGACACTTGAAAAGCTGAGCACCTCCCAACTTCAACTTCGTGTTCCAAGCTTTAATATTAGGGTTTCAAACCCTAGAAGGGGCAGAAAGTGCTTCTTTCTTCTAACGCCAATGGCAGAAGTTGTCACTGTTGTGTGGCCTTGCCTGCCAGCAGCACCAGTGCTTAAACTGGACTGCACGTCCAGGTTCTTTAGCTGGCTCCTGCAGGATGCTCTTTTGCTGAGGTTGTTGACAAAATTGCATGGAAGCCGATCAAGCTCTGCCTGAGTGAGGCAGCTTTCAGCAAATCAGGGCAGGGGGCAATGTGGGGTACCTGTGGGGCGTACACTGAACGATCGTACGATGTTGCGCTTTCCACTATCTCGCCGAGCTCGATGTCCTTCCTCAGGAGCTCTTTCATATCTCTGGCAGGACGTCTGTGGGGTGGTGCGCTTTCCGGCAGTCACAAATAGCACCTCAGCAGCGAAGACTTCAGACAATCTCTTCTGGAGGCCATTCTGTGCTGCCCCTGCTGATGCTCAGACTCGCTTGGACCACGACAAGCGGAACGGTGTTTATACCTTAACCTTCCTGGGTCAAGGGGAGCATAGAATCAACCCTGCTTTTGTGGCCGAGGTCGAGCGTCAGCTCGACACCGTGCTAGAAAACGAGTCTCCAATTGCTCTGGTGACAGCTAACGAGGGTAGGTTCTGGTGCAACGGACTGGACATTGACTGGGTGAAGGAAGACCCTAAGATAAGGTTAGAACCAGGGGTTTTGTCGTTGCTCCGATTGGTCAAAAGGTTTTTGGAGCTGCCAATCCCAACTGTGGCGTCGATCAACGGGCACGCTGCTGGGGGTGGTTTCGTGCTTGCGCTTGCAAATGACTACAGGTGAGAGGGGGCCAGTCAATCTATCTCATTGCCACAGTATCATTGAGGATGTCGGACTGAAGTCTGTCTTGAAATGACTCCAGCTTCTCCTCTTGAGATAGACTCTCAGCCTGATGTTTGATCCAAATGTTGGGGCAATTCTCATCTTAGAGATCATATGCGTTCCTTTGGATCCGTTCGTGGTTGTAGTAAACAAGCGCTCAATGCCAGAAGTGACTGCTTTTGGACTGCCAGGTTCTAGCCATGTTGAAATGCTCTTCCGGGTTCGTTCAGATTCTTTCAATGTGAGGATATTTCAGAGGTTTAGGGTCATCTACGGAGCAGATGGAATGCGGGTTTGAGTTTCTTGATTGCTGCGAAGCCCCTAAACGTAGCTGAGTGCCTCTGCTGACCCTTGGACATGACTTCGGGGCTGATTACACCTTGCTTCGTTTCCGGATTAGAGCCCCCGCAGCGCTGTAGCTTCTCTGAGAAACAGGAAAGTGAAGATGAGATCTCATCTTAGTCACGCAGTTGTCTGGGGTGCTTCAGTGAAAAGCTCAATCTTCCCTGATTCCATTTCCAGTGTTCTCTGTCATTCTCTTTATTGGCGGTTTCTCATCTTGGCACTTCGTTTTGCACAAGGACCTGTGCTGGGCAACTCTGAGCTTCATAAGAGGTCGATTCGCTCTGTTCTGAAGAATGGGGGACGTCAGAAATAGTTCGAATCTAACACTGGCAGTGCACAATTAGATCGTATCTGGCAATATAGTTGGCAGTAGCAGTTAATAGGAACCCAATGCAGCTCTATGATGCATCCGCTGCTACAGTTGCTGTCGAACAATTTTTGTGGGTCTGTTCTTGGCTCTCTATTGTCAGGCGTCCTCAGACCATTTGCGGCTTTAAATCCTTGTCGAGGTCGGCTGTCTTGAAGACTTCGAATCGAGCAGGTTGAAGGGCGCTCTTTGATCGCTCTCGAAACCCTTGTGCCACATAAACGCTTGTCAAGGCATGGCATCGGACCCCAGGTAAGCCCTCGCCTTTAGGCGTGAGTTATCTAGAGAAAATAATGATCTGTATTGTCTCTAATGCATCCCAGTGTGCATTTCCAGGTATATGAGACGGAGTAAGAGCGTCCTCTACTTAAGCGGGGTCGACATCGGTCTGCCGCACCCCCCCGGCGCGAACGCGCTCCTCCGAAGCAAGATGCGGCCCGAAGTCTACCGGGACGCCGTCTTATACGGCATGAAATTCAATGGTGACATGGCCGCGAGTGCAGGTCTGGTGCAGTGCGACCCGCTCGGGGAGATCCCCTGGGATGCTGACGTTCTCAAACACGCCGAAAAGTTTGCGTCTTTCTTGGCGCGACGGAAGTTTGACAGGGAGGTGTATGGCGCGATGAAACGAGACATGTACAGCGAGGCTCTTGAGCTTCTCGAGAACGGCGGCATAGGGCAGCTGGGCAGCATGGGGCTGTTTGGGAAGATCCTGAAAGGGGCAGAATAGGAACGATGCTGTACAGTAGTTTTAACCTGACCCTGTGTTGAGCAACGGGTCCCTAGGTTGCTAAGTCATAACAGCTAGGGGAGTCGGACTCAGCCGTGCCCAGTTGGCAGCCTGAGAGGTTTTACTAGCCTTTGCCATGATCGACTCGCTCGTGGCTCAGCCTAGCTCGACGAGAAACCACTGAGAGACGAGTGCTCGCGAGTATAGTCCGAAAACAAGCTCAATCTTGATCGGAAATATGATACCTTCGGCAGGCTTCGACTCGGAATTGTTAGTTTCGAGAGGACAAGCTACGTATGAAAACAAATTGCTGAGAAAAGTACGAACCAAGTTGATTACCAGTAGCATACGAAATCAAAACATCCTACAGAGCATGGAATATATGAAGTACCGCTCATGAGCTAGTGTCTAGAGTGTTCAAATCAATTCTTTGCCAACTTGCATGGACGGTCAAGGTTGAGTACTGGCCGGGACGGCTGTTCTGTCGGCCGACTTTTGAATTCATGTACTATATGTACGGTATTGACTGATTCTAAAATAATCAAACGTCCTTTGGATTACCATGTATACGAGCCTAGCCTGCTGGTTAGATTGAAGTGCACGTTCAACATGGCCGTAATATAGATGATACTGGCGGCTGCCATGCATGCAAGATTGTTACTTTTGTGCATTCATTACCCGTCTAGATATCGGACACGATTCTGGTCAGCATATCATTCACCGGTACGTGTCGGGCAGGATCCTTTATAGCACTCGATCATGCTGTCATATTGTGAATGATGAGCGCAAATCTTCTTGTCGAATCTGGAGATGCACTGATGCGAGACCAGCCGAGATCGAAGTTCGAGCCTGGTTCCCCCGACACGTACAGGCCAGCCGATCAGACGGCCGCCTCGGCTTGTGCGTACCGTGGACTTAGACAAGCTAAAGGGCTGCAATGCTGCATGCTGGCGCTCGTTTCTTCTTGCACTGCACAGCTTGCATGCGGCAGCGCATCGGGCCTTCCCTCGCATCAATTTTCCTACAATGAATGTCCGTTCAAATGAAAGCCAGCGGTACCTTGAATCCGTTTGGCCGGAATTCTTGTGTGCATGATGAAGCCAGGTTACTTTAGTAGCTATTACGTACAGCTGGCCGGTCCGAGTGGAACGGCCCCTAACCCGTCAAGACTGTTGTTCAAAGCATTGGATCGACTGTCGAGGCTTCAATCAAATTCGCACGTGCGTTGGACGTAACGTGGCCCTTTGCCAGAGCTCAATGAGTCACGTGTCAAAGTGGCCGTCAGCAAACGTTTGGGTATTCTTGGACATCTTCAGCAACTCTGCAACACCCTCGTTGCCTGTCGAAAAATTGCTTCCTCGATGTATTTGACGTTGCACCCTACCTTCTGGGATCGCGTTCACTTCCTCTACACTTCGGATAGAAGAACCTTTGACTCCAATTTGACTGAACGAAACTACCATTTGACTGGGAGTAAGACGGAACTGTTTGCTAATCAAATCAAACTTGTGCATCCTGGAAGGAACCTTTGACATGGCAAACGCGATTGACACCTGACCCATGTTACTAGTCTTGCACATTCTACCAATCGTGTTTTTCTCACCCCCGGAATGGGGGAAAGGAAGGCACCAAGAAGGGACCCCAGAGCACACGATCCGTATTGGCTTGCGTAGTGGGCGTTGCCAGGAGTCGCTTGGATTGCCTCTCTCGTCTAAGTTCTGCAAACAGGCGCCGCTGCATCAGCTCGAGCCTGACAGAAGATTTGAGACGCTCAGATCGATAACCAATGAGATACATAAGGATGAGAGCACTCCTACGTCCGACCTTCTTCTTCTGTACCAAAGTGTTGAGGAGTGTCGACTATGATGCGGCGCTAGATTGTCCAGATAAAGGTATGCGATGCATCGTCTAGAGTACGATCTCGAGAAGCCTGTGACTAAGAAGACGGCTGCTATAAACGACGAGTCGACACGCCCTTTCATACAAAGACAATTTCTCGGTCCCGACTGAAGCATTGTCTGAATTTGATGAAATCTAGAGGACATTTGCTGCCGTCCTGACGTTGGATTGCACCACTTACGTACTACACGAATTGACCCACGTGAAAGCGATTGATGTGCCCCACCTAAGAATCCTATACAAACGTTCCGTTCGCCAGCATCCCGTTTGGTTGAGTAAGGTTCAACACCTGCCTCACAATCTCAGTCAAACATTACTGCTCCCTTCATCGTACATCATTATCCTGCCACTTTGAATTTCCCATTCCTACCTTCCCTGTGACAGCTCATGTGGCCCCCAAGGGCCGCCGACTGGAGGAACGTCAGCCCACAGAAGCGACACGTGTAGGCTGCCGGGCTTTCCACGCCCTTGCCCTCGTTTCTCGGCGCCGGCAAGGCTGGATGCACCGGCTCGCCCCAGGTGCTGACGTGGCGCTTCTGGGGCAGTCCGCGCCGCAGGTACTCGCCCGCTTCGTCAAAGCCCACGGTTTCTGCGTCCAAAAGAGAAAGGACGTCGGAAACTGTCCGCAATGCAGCAGTGTAGAGATTACAGCAGTGTAGAGAGGGACTTCTCGGCGCTCGTTTGATGAGAGCGACGCCAAAATCCTCTCTAAAGTGGGGCCGCATTCTAGTATGCAAAAATTCGCCCTCGCTTTCATCCGTCGGCAAACGACTCAGGTGTCTGATCGACTTCTCACGGCCGGAATTGGTCAAACGGCTGACAGCTTGTGCCCGCAATGTCTTTCAATAATAAGACGAACTTCGAAGCATTTTCCTTCCTCGTACTGAAATAATGAAGGGCAGACTTGTTCCTCGAGCGTGCTTCTGTAGATCTTTCAAAGCTCGAGGCAGGGCTGTGCTGTTTCAGTTTTTGGTTTCAGTGACAGGCAGACCTCCTCAAGCCATTTAAGGACGGCATCTTGCAAAAAGCCCTCTCTTTGCTGCAAGCTCCAGAGTTCCAGGAACAGCATATTAAACCCCCATTTCTGTGCCTTCGCCTCTGATGATGAACATAGGGGACGCAAGCTCTGCAGAGACAGGTCAGTGCACTTCACCCACGCTCCACGTTTAATTGTAATTCATGACGGGACTTCAACAAAAGTCCGGCATTCTTTTCAAGCAAAAAGTGTACGTTCAGATCGGTTTTCACGGGACGTACCGTCCTCAGAAGCGACCCTTCTCTTTACGCTCGCAGAGTGCGGACGCTCCTCTGGCCTTGGCTGCCCCTCTCGCCATTCCCGACCGGTTCCCGGAAGCTCTTGCTCGGTCACACTTTGTTGCCCACAGCCAAAATCGCGCGTTCGATATTTCTGGGACACGGGAATGCTCCCGGACACCTCACCAGCCCTCTCAGGATCCAGACTCCAAGTTCGAAGTAATTCCGGCTCCCTTGCTTCGGGGACCGACGCCCTGCGTGACGCAAGACGCGGGCGCGCCCCCGTTAGATCGCCCCGCGTGCTACCGAAGCGCGACGCGGCCGCGTCCTCCGCTTCGCCGCCCGCGCTTTCTATCATCTCATGCTGCGGGACGGCCCCGTCCTCCAGTGCACCGCGCGCGAGGCTGTCAAACCCGCGCGGCAACGTGCCCGCGGCTTCCAGTCCTCCGCGGCCGCTCTGAGTCTCGGCCGCGGGCACCGCGCCCGATGGTCGACCGCGCGCGCTCGCGATGTCGCTCGCGGCCGCGCCGTTTTGTGATTGGCCGAGCCGCAGCGCAAAGCTTGGGTACTCAGCCGCGGGCGGATTCCAGAGGAGGGGGGTTTGGGTAGGATTCTGGTCCCCGAGAGACAACCGGGCTACTCTCTCATCCTCCCAGGTCGGAATCACCGGTTCCGAAACACGCCCGTCGTGCACGGATCCCGCTTGCTCTGGAAACAGGCTCAGGGGCTGGACGTCTCTCAAATAATCGCCGTTCCTTTCTTCGCCTCTTTCTGTTTCCAGGCGACTAGAAATCCGCTGCTGCAGATGATCCGTCGCCACCAAGCCCGGCGCACGCATGGCCTCAAAGTCGGCGGTTCCGCTGGTCGCCATTCTCCATCCTTCCGGCGGAACGGATTGGGCCCGCCCTCTGGCCGCAATGCCGAACGTCGCGCCTTCCGTTTCCGCACTGCCTTCCGCTTCCGCTCTCCAGCCGGATTCGTGTATCCTGTTCCTCTGAGAGGTTTGTATTGTTTCCGCTAGTCTCCCGTTCCCTTCCGCTCTTCTCTCCAATTCCCGCTCCGCTTCCGCTTCCAGTTCTTCCATCGGAAATTGCAGCGACAGCGAATCTTCTCCACACCTATGCCACGTGACATTCTGCCAGTCACTCTCTGCCCCCTCCGCGCAACGCTCTGGCGGCCGCGCCGCGCCACTCTCTTCCGAGCCGCGCGCGCACACCGCTGAATCCTTCGTTGGAATCTGGAACCGAAGAGCCGGGTTCGTCCCTACTGAGGAACCCAGGGAGACAATGGACGGCAGGTTTGAGTAGAACACGTCAGATGACGTCGCAGATGCGGCCATGCTCCATTCACCCGTATCCCTCCCTCGTCGGCCGCTAGAAAGTACCCCCCAGGGATCGCTGGCCCTGCTAAGCGGCTGCGCGACGCTTGGGTCGGACGGGTCCCAAAAGAAGCCCCGCGAGTTGTCGCCTCCCAAGGGCTTGTACCTAGGGAAAGTATGCATGGACCGGAGTGCCCGACGCTCCGTGTGATGATGTCGAACAGATTCGAACTTTTCCGCGGGGAAGGTGTTCGCGCGCGCGTAGATTCCTGACCTGGGAGGGAAGAGAGCTGGGCCGCTTCCCTTGGTTGCCAATTTTGAGGGGCCGGCCCCGTCGTGTTTTGCCGGGGGAGAGGACCGAGCAGCGCCAGGGGAGGGGGGGGTTGCTTCCAGCTCGGTTGACGAGAATGGCGGATAAAGTTCCAGAACCGGGAGAGATTTTACAGGCCAGCTGTGCGCGCGTGGATTTGGGTTGACATCCCCCTGGAAACCTTTCTCGATCTCGTTCCTCGGGCGCGAAGCTTTCACAGATTCGGTCCCGGCAGGAAACGGGGCAAGGACGGACATAGGATCGCTTCGAGCAGCCTCTCGTCTCCAGAGACGAGAGGCCTTCCTTTCTGTTTCACTGAGCCAAGGCCTGCAAACGAGAGCGAGCAGTCAATCCACGGTTTGGCAGGCGCTCTTGAAATAGACGGAGATTCCTGAGGATGAGCGCGGATTTATTAGTCAGTTCCTGCATCCATTCTACAGGCAGCAGAAATTCTCTATAGGATAAACATCTTTCGAAAAAACCATTGTAAGCGAAGGCCTCAATCTGCTAAGCTGGATAAAGGCACACCTCGAAGGAGACTCTATGGCTGATTTCTAAATATACTCAAGCATACAATCGTTTTTGGCTTTTTATCATCGTTCTATCTAGACAACAATGAATAGGCACTCATCCAAACTCGAAATTGATGTGCCTACAGGAAGGCTATTAGTAAGACAAATGAGGGACGTACGCGTCAGTAGGCGTTTCTTCTTCGCCCATCCTGTACGTGGAGTGGCAGTCAAAACTGCTCACCGACCACTTCTGGTAACTGCAAGAGGAGACACAAGGCTGAATGCACGAGCAAAGACAGTTTCCCGGTTTCCAAGTGCAACCTTCCTTTGCAGCGCAATCTCTCCCGCAAACTCGATCACTGCACCTTGAAACCTCGGGAGTCAAACTCCTTGAAAGATGGTCATACTTCCTGACAGGAACGAGGTTTAAGGGATTGGATGGCTTCTACGGTAGAGAACAAATGTCAGCACCTTTTACTTTCCAGGGACCTTTACATTAGGACTTGCGCTCCACCAACTCGATCTTGAATTCCTGCTTCTCATTCCTTGAAAGTAAAGGCAAAGAGCTCTCCTCAATGTGTTCTTCCACTTGTACCTCAGGGCTGACGAGGCAATTCCAGAGGAAGCAAATCCAATCAGTCAGGTTCTCAGCTGTTTGAAATCTTCGCAGCCCTGTCAAGCTTGTCCCACAGGAGGCGCTATCAATACATCATCCAGGTAAGATGCTGTCTTCCGCTCTTAAAAAGGAAGGATGCGGTGCTTACCCAAACTTCGACCACCAACCACGCCTGTGATCAGATCCTTGACTTCACCTTGTGTCCCGACTCCATTCAACCGTAAATCACCTTCAAGCTCTCCGCTCTGAACGTCGTTCCCTCAGCTGAGCATTCAGAGCCTTCCGTCAGCTCTCGAAATCTCCCGGCTTGCAGATCTAATGTCTCCGATGAGGTTGAGAAGCAGCTTCAGACCGTTACAACGAACATGCACAGCCCTACTATGGGATGCTGAGAAGTTCTGCCCGACAGGAAGCACAGTCAGCTATGGCTTTTGACTTCGTACCCGATACTCCCTTGTTCTCCTGAGAGAATGCTGCAGAAATGTCGCGCGCAGAGCGCCTGACACCTTTCCTGAGGATCTAGCTATATATGGAAGAGCCGCAAGCCGCATGGATTCAAGGTATCCGAAGTTTACCGAAGATGGCAGCTGTTTCAAAAGTGATTGCACCTACTATGCAGTGAACTGATCTCAGAGAGCGCTGATGCAACGCATCATTGAAAATTGAGCTCAGCCTTAATCTAACGAGCCGACGCGCGACGAAGCTAGTTCATGACAACACCTTTTGCTTTTTGAATCTCCAAGTGGCGCGAAAGGTGCAAGCTTATCAGGTAATCAGTCACGAGGCTAGGCTACCTGAAACGGCCACTGACGATAATTTTGGCCTTTTCACAAGGGACATCGAGACTTCGAATTCGTTGGTTGAAACTAGTAGAACAAACCAGTCACCGACGACGTCTCGTCTTTGACCTCTTTCACGTCACGTGCGCCGGGCCTCGTGACATGTGCCAAAAGACCCACGACATGCAGCAATGAAAAATGCTCTCAGATGACAAGCACATGAGTGCGCAGGTCCAGCCCAGAACCAATGATGATGAGATGAGGTATCGAGGTCAGCAGCAGGCCAGTCCAATGTTTTTCGTGCATGCGTCGCCGGACGAGTTGAAGACAGGAGGGTCGAGAAGACAGGCCGGAGAGGTCCAGCTTGGTCTGCGCTTGAAATCTTCATTGGCGGAGGCCGGAACGGTGAATCTCAAGGGGATCCAAGTCGGGCCTCCCGGCCACCTGGTGGAGGGCACGCGAGCCCGGGCCACCCGGCCGCCTGCCGCGCCAGACCGGTCAAGCTTCCGCTGCGCTGCGCCAGAAGTAAGCTGTCGGATCGCACCCCTCGGCCGGAACCGGAGCGTCCCTCAGTTGCGGACACCACAAGACGGTATAATTATTGGACTAGCTAGGCTCGGAGTCGTGGCGCTGCCAGCCTGGGCCGGACTGGTCTGGATGGCCAGGCCCGTGGGCCACTCGGACACCGTCCGCAAGCGACTCGAGGAGCCTGCTGCACCAAACCCTAGAATTGTCCGCTGAGAGCGCCAGCCTACCATATGCATGCATTGGCATGAGCATGGGCTCCTTTCACAACATTCTGGAAAGCTAGCGAAGTGAGTTTACATTCACTTCTTGCTGGCTTTACATTGTTAGCAGTGGCCAATCCTGCATGGCAGCTATGCTTTGCAGAAGCTTTAGTTGACTGATATGTCAGGATGCCAGATCAATCGAGAAGCTGGAGCTCAAAGTCTAACATTGGGACGTGCCGCATTGACTGGACCTACTAAAGTTCGAACCGCAGTTGGCAGAGCTGCCCGTTCCAGCTCCTCTTTCGCATTATGAGTGAGAATTGCATTTTCGCACCAGTACATTTTTAGGTGCTCAGGACCCTCACCACAACCTGAAGTTTGCACCTCAGAAGTTGGTTTGCAGCTTGATAAGAGTGCACCAGCTGCCTCGTCAAAGCTTGAATTTGGATACTACCGAAAAGTGACGCCTGTAATCCAGCTATTGACGCACTCTTGTGGCTCTGAGATTGGCTGGCCTTCATTTCCATCCATGGAAAAGTCGGGCCAAGCTCACAAGGCACATGGAGCTTCCCTGTTCATCTTTGGCAGCGTCCTGGGAGGAACAGGTTTTAAGCCAGGCACTCTATGTAAGTGGAAGCTGGTGGCTGGGCGAGACTGGGTGCTGGTAGCTGGGGCAATCAGCGGGAGCACGCAGTGTGGCATGCCAGGAGGGGTGAGGTTCCAAAGCTCACTACTGTACCACCTTTTCTTGCCTTCATACAATCCTGAAAGTAGTTTTATCTTTTTAACCTGACTAAGAAAGTACAGACAGAGTTCGCTTACAGCTAGTTCCTGATATTGTAAGAAATCTGTGATGCAGCGGTGGTCGCAGCTTTGAGCGGTTTAATCAAGGGTATTATGTCGAAAGCCCTGCCGAGACGGGTGCTTGATCACTTTCTGTTCCACAAGGAAGTGCTGATTGTGAACTTAGTTCGGCTTCTTTATCTGTTTCATCCTTAGGAGTCAGATTCCAGCAAAAGTACCCCTTATGACTTTTGAGAACCTATCTTCACAATTACCATCAAGAACGGCATTGATGAAAGGATCTCCGATCGATCAGGGCAGTGCAGGCTTGTGATGGTTTCGAAAGAATGTTTGCCCTTTGCAACATCTGTTAGAAATGCACAGTATGTACGATCATCCACAGGGGCGGTCATATGTGGCTAGCTGCAGTGCAGCCACTTCAGGTCCTCCAGAATAATGAGGTGAAAGGAGCCACTTAAATGCGTCCACTTGAACCCGCTAACTTTTTGGGAACTCATGTTTCAACTCCACTTGAAGCCGTTCTCCTCATCTCTCCCAGAGTCCTCTACTGCCGAACGCCTGTAATTGAGCACAAGCGTGCATGAAGTTAGAGCATTCACCAAGGTTCAATGTTTAGCAGGCCGGTCCCAATCCTGAAGCTTTGTGAAAAGGTGATTTGGCAGAATTTCTTAAAAGCTTGCCCTCTCTCGTAGTCGAAAGTCAGTGCCTTTCGGCCGCAGGACGAGAAAAGCAATGTGAAACCATGAGAGACCTGACCACTAACCCATTTCTTAGGGCCAAAGATGCTGACACATTCCGGAATCGCTCCCTTGTTAGGGATTATGCACATCTGATCAGACGATGGGTGTCTTTTGCAACTAGGTAGAGGGAGACGATCTGGCGCTCTGGGAGCACCCACTCAATGTGCACTTCAAGACCCAGACGAGCCAGGGCTGGCCGAAGTTCTGCTTCACAGTCTTCCATCGCAGCCCGTACTTGGGACGGGACGAGTTCCGTGAGTGAAAGCTTGTGTTTTTCCAAGCTCCTAGCGGTTCAGTTTTTCAAAGACGTGGTACGATCCCATCGGCTCATAAGGTTGAATCAGTGGAAGGAATATGATGTGAACAGTCGACTTGTGACACCTTTGTCAATTCAGACGTCCAACACCAAAATCCTTCAAGGTCGTAGAGAGTGACTTTTCCTGTCCGCTGCAATTCCTTCTCGACGACTCCTTCGTTCAAGTCCAACATGACTAGCTCATTCAGCGGATTGGCGTGATCTTTCTGAACGAGAACTGTAAAAAAAGGACCTGCAAACGGTATGATCAGGAAGAAGCGAACAGGGGAATAGTCGGAAGCAAGACATATGCGGTTGGGCATCGTCCGAAGAAGGTGGAGAACAGGACGGAACAGGAACCAAGAATTGACGTCATATTTGACAGAAACAACGAACCTTCAGAAACAGAGAGACACACAGGATCACAAAAACACAGCAAGACAAGGAGAAAAGAGGCCGATAACTGTTTCATGCAAGAAAGTAACGACAGACGGAACTTTGTCTTGAGCAGAGGCTTACGGCATCTGCGCTCTCCCGACCACCGCCGGGGACCACGAGCTGACCTGTCCGACGTGGCGGCCCAACGACCGGGGGAATCGTCGGGGGGACGAGATCGCGGGCTTCTTCACGGGGAACTTGCCCGAGCTTGCTGATGAGTCCTTTATCCACGATCGAGACGAAGCCTTCAGGTGGGTACTTCAATACTTTTGGATCGCTTTTGAAGGGTTGTTTGTCGAGGTGCTGAGCCACGAGTGACAAAGGCCCCTATGATCATTGTTCTCGCTTAAACTCGTATCGAACGTGATTCGCTTTCAGGTTTTTTTGCGGTGCTTTTGACTTTGACCTCTTGGCTTTGCACATATTTGAGATCAAGATACTTCCAGTCATTGGCCTTTCAAGCCTCCATGGCAACAAGCACAGCGTTATTCCCTCGATTTGTTATAATGGACTCCGAAGCAATGTAATGCGCATTCTCTCGTTACAACACCCTCCGACTTTGCGCAAACCAACTCATTGACCCTGATTCCCTCTCTGCTTGCCACGTGGCAGCGCCTCCATCCAGACCGTCGGCATGGGCACGGTCCACCTCCGGCTGAGCCTCCTCTTTAAAGACTTCGACCATTACGCGCCGCTGTCCGGTCTGACACGTGGCGCCTTCTCGAGCGGCCTGCGCGCCTCGCGCAACTTCACGCGGAGGCGGGTGCGGGAAACCGGGCCTGACGCGGGCCTGACGCAAGAGGGGGCGGGTGCCTCGGGGGACGAAGCAACCGGGCAGGAGGAGCGGAATTCCGCTTTTCGGTCGCAACGGAAAGGGGAGGTGTCGGAAGGGGAGGAGCGGCGGCGGGCGCAGCTCGCGGACAGAATGATTCGGACGGTTACTAGAAATAGGGTTAGGGACACCGACTCCGAAAGGGAGGGAGAGGGGTCTACCTTTGAGTCGAGGCGGCTGTCGAGGTCAGGGTCACACAACCGGGCGGGTCTAGAATCGGGTTCGTCGACAGACCGGGTCACCGACAGAGTTACGAACAGGTTTGCGGACCGGTTTGAGACAGACAGGGTCAGCGAAAGGGTTACAGAGAAAACAACCGAGCGCCGCCAAAGCCGAAGGAGCTCTGACGTCACCTCCGATCGACTCCTCTCACCTGAAAGAGCAGCCGACTCGTCGTCCAGCCGAAGACGATCTTCATCCGGGGGGCCAGAGAGCAGGGTGCCCGACCCCCTCGCTTATGGGGAATCTCGCTCCAGGGGGCCAGAAAAGCGGGGTTCTGACCCTCCCAGCGAAGCCCGCGGAGTGTTCGCGCGACTGGGGCGATGCTTGGCGGAGGAGGGCGCGAGCGCGCGCGCGCTTTTCGAGGGCGCGGACGCGGACGCGAGCGGCGCGCTCAGCCGGACGGAGCTGCGGCGGCTCGTGCAGCGGATTTTGCCGGGGGTGTCGGCTCGCGAGCTTCAATACGTTCAGGTCAGCTCTTTGGGCTTTCCATCTTCTCGGCAGGGCCAGTGGTTTTTGGCTCTTTTTGAATTTGTCAAATGAAAAAGAGCCGTGAAAGAACGTAGGCTTTGCGGGATCCTCGGCCCGCGAGCTCAGATGCGTTTAGGTGAGCTCTTAGGGGTTTCAGATTTTAGAGCTTTGAAAATCGAATGTTGAAGGATCGAAGCTGAAGCTGCGAGCGGGGTTTGCGGATTTACAGTGGAGCTACTGTCATTCCTCGCGAGAAACAGGCCGCTAAAGCTTATAGCACCACATCCAAAGCGAAAGCATCGGTGCGCAGTCCGTAATGCGGGCCAGAGATTCGCGCGTGTGCAAGCGAACCGTCGTCCTCATTCTGATCTGCTGCTGAGCAAACGTGATAAGGCAATCCCCCCCCACCAAAGATTGATAATGCATTGCGGCCTCAAAGAACCTGCTGCGAGTGCGGCGCCGGACGCGTCAGTTGGCCTTTGGGAAAATGGAATACGAGATTCAAATCGTAGAACAAACAATGTGCAAGAGCTGCCGATGTCGATTTGCTGAGGCGTTCTCTGCGGACGTCCGCAGCTCATGTTGGACGAGGGCGGCACCGGACGCGTCACGTGGCCCGAGTTCGAGGCGCTTGTCCAGGCGTGCGCAAGCAGCGAGCAGGCGTCCCGGCAGCAGATCCGAGTCGGCTCCGCGGAAGCGGACGTTATGCGGACGCTGGTGAGCTAACATTGGATCGCCTTACGTCTCTGTAGCGCAACCTGCGGATTGGGAATACTCCTTGTAAGCAGCCGGTCCTTGTTCTAGTACGACCCGCCCGCATTTGCCCCCTGCTTTGGCGGCGGTGATGAAGCGGCAGCCTGAAGGAGTTTTTCAAGGGCGTTGAAGGAGACTCTGCCTGTAAAGCGAGGGACGCACTGCTCAAGGAGCATTTTAGTTCCGCTGATTATTTGAACTTCCATTCGCCGGTGTGAACTATGTTCCCGAAAGTCGCGGGAAAGCAGGTTTCGAGATTCCGGACAGCCACTGAGACGACTGCTTTGGGCGCTCGACGCGCTTATGAAGCCGAGATTCTAACGCGCTGCGTTCCCGTCGACATTGACAGCGTTTCATCGCGTCGGACGACCCGGCCCGTGTGCGCGCGCTGTTCGACCAGTACGACCGAGACAAGAGCGGTTATCTAGACCAGGTCAGCATGCCACGTAGCCTTTTCAGCTTTCTCTTTGAACGAGATTCGACCATTATGATCGAAACACAAAGCGGTTACCTTGACCGGGTCAGCACGCCACGTTGCCTTTTCAGCTTTCTATTTAATCGAATGCGACCAGTACGACCGAGACAAGCGCGGTTATCTAGAGCAGGTCAGCATGGCACCACCATCTCCTTCCTTTTCAACCGCTTCTTATAGCAGCTAAAATTGGTCTTCGGTCCGGTACGCGGCGTTCTTTCGGGGGGGATTCTCCGTTCCGTGCGTCGAAGATGCTTTGGAAGGCACTTTCGGTCAGCGATCTCGAAGCGTTTGTGGACTGGCTTTTGCAGACTTGTCAAAAGGAGCACTACGTTGTGCGCTTGAGAGGGATGGTGTGATAGCGCGAAGCGAACGTTGACGTTAGCTTATGGAGCGAGCAGCGACGGACGGTCGGCTTCTGTGTGAATACGACGCTTGAAAGTGTTGCTACGATTCCACGCACCTTGTGAGTGGGACGTCATGCGCTGGCTATTCTCTTCCGATCACATTGTCCTCGACTGGCATTCGAGGGATAGTTTGCGCATCCTTGATTTCCAGTGATCGATTGATGCAAGTCTGGCCTTGTGACAATATTTGGAAAGGATATGGCTCATCGCCCAAACCTATCCGTTTCGCGGTCTGCCTTCACCCCTCTGAATGCCACGCCTTCCCGGCTGAAGGCCGATCTGAAGGCCGATCTCCTCGTAGAATCTCTCGAGGAATGTGGGTGCTTTTGAACTCAAAGTGCTCACTCGTTTGCTTTTTATCTTGATTTGCTCAGAACCTCGAGCCACTTGTAACCCTCGGACTGTTTGGAAAGGCTTTGTCGGGCGTTATTGACCATGCAAATTGAAACGGTTGTTGACGCAGGCGGAGCTACTATCAATGATCAGGGACCTGATGCCCCCCATGGACGTCCGAGACCGTCGATTCATCATCGCCAATCTCGCGTTCCGAATGGACGCGGACGGAGACGGGCGCATTCGATTGGACGAACTGCTTGGAAAGCTCAAGGAATAGAGGCCAGATCTGCCGGCTGCATGATTTACGTAGATACACACGATTTGCAGCTCTTATGTTTGCACAAAACTTTAGATGATAAGACGGCCTTGAAGCATGAAGGGACTTGTACCACTGGTATATCAAGAACAAGGGCAGAATGTCGAATAATTGACCGGTTCGCTTCTCGGTAGATGTCCTCTCGAGAGATCTAGTCGCAAGGCGCGGCTGGACCGAGGGCAGCTTGACTCCATGGTTTGCAGACCGACTGGAACCTATAGTCGGTCCCGACTTTCGAGAAGCACGGCTTAGAAATTGCACATGTGCAAAAAGCGTGGGGCAAGTTGCTGCTGTGAGCTGAAGAAGTCGCTTCTTACTTGATTCCAAGCTGGGAGTTTGATCGGTAGAATGTATACCCAGAATCAAGTAGACAAGCCAGCTGGCTTATGATGATCTTTGAGTGTCAGTTATTGCTCGATCTCATGTAAACCTGTGACCAGCCCGGCCGTAAGACATGGATGTAGATACCTGTCTAGTTCGCCGGACAGGACCGTCCGACGAGTCCCGCAAGGACATTTGGCCGGATCTTATGTACGGTAGTATGGGCCCATGCGAGGCTAGCTCTGTCCATGGATGACGGTGAAGACGGAAGGAGATTCCTCACCGATTTTGCCTTTTGGGACATGTCATGCAAATCCGAGCAGAACGAGGATAACCGTAGTCACGGCGGGGTGCCGCTGCGGGCCTGAGGTCAGACGGACTGTGAGTGGCTGACTCGAGTGCCACGCCGCCCGCTGCGGCTCGGTGCGGGTCACGTGCCAGGCAAGCGCAATCTCAGCGGCCCGGCGGCACCTAACCATCTGTTGAACGGCATAAAAAGGGTCCAACCAGATAGCGCCACGTGTCCCCCCGTTTCAGTTAGGCTCGCTGCCGCGCCGCGCCTAGGTCGCCTGGAATGCCCAGGCCGCCGCCAAACCGGGGCAGCAGAGGGCGCCAGTTTCGGCACCCTAACTGAGTGGGTGTTGTTACCGTCCGATCGTGGCTGAGTCGGGAGCCGCAATGATACCACCATCGATTAACTCTCTTGGTGGTTGTAATTGTATGAAAGCAGGGCACAGAACTGCCCGACCAGCAGTTCTGGAAGCTTACTCGAACTCGGTACTCTAAGGCTTAGCATAATATAGAAAGGAAGAGCGACGCCACGTAAGCAGGATAAGCCGGGAGCAGAAGTTCTTGCATGTGTTAGGCATGTCCTGGGCTCGGATTTTCACCGCCGAAGCGTTGCGGAACTGTTTGCGGAAAGCGCGGAAACCATGGCGGAGAAGAGCGGAATGCGCGGAGCAAGGCAAAAGCTTGCGGTCCAAGCTTGGATGAAAGAAGAAGCACGCAAGTTGCAAGTCGTGGAAGCATCATTGGACACAAGCTAATGCGCAGTTTCGTGCAAAAGTAATTACGCGACAAAGTCAGGCCTCGTCGGCGCTCATGCGCAAGCGCAAGTCTTGAATATAAGAAAGATTGAACTGAGCACGTAAAGATTATTTTCAGTCCCTTTCACAAATGCCACCACATCTCCATAAGCCACAGACTATCTAGGCGTAACAAACCTCGAAGCAACCAACACCGTGCTCTGATTGTTCGCAAGTACGTTGGAGGACGAGCTCAGGCTACCCACTAACGGAGACGATCCCTCCGAATCCCACAAATCTTCCTCTCTGAAACTCGAATCAACAACTTGTACCAGCGCCAGTTGCGAACCCACGCTTTCCATATTTGGTCTGGCAGAGGGGTCCGTTCGCAAGCAAGCCAGAGCCACATGAATGTAGTTCCGGGCTTCGTTCACGTCATAATCATTCCCAAGTTTTGGGTCGACCAGCTCCAATATCTTGCCCTCCCTGGTCATGTCTACGGCGATCTTGGAAAGGCGCTCCATTACTCCGGACCTGATCTGGCTCACCACCGGACGCCCGCTCACGAGCTCCAGGAAGAGCATGCCAAAACTGTACACGTCGCACTTGGGGGTCAAGAAACTCGCCCCACCATGCAGGTACTCTGGGGCCATGTATGGCACCGTCCCCTTGACCATGGTAGAAGTCTTCCATCCCGAGTCCTGGACTAAGTGTGCGAGCCCAAAGTCGGCAATGCACGCATTCGCTATCTCGTCATCAGTAAGCAGAACGTTGGCAGCCTTGATATCCCGATGCACGATGGGTGGCCGGATGTCGTTGTGGAGGTAAATCAGCCCTCTGCAGACGCCGCGCGCAATGTTGATACGGTCAGCCCATGACAACACCGGCTCCCCATCTCTCGGATCGTGAAGGCGTCTGTCCAGGCTCCCCCGAACAAAGTGCTCGAACACCAACAGTCTCTCCCCCCTATCCACGCACACTCCCAGGAGAGGCACAAGGTTCTTGTGCCGGACCTTGCCAAGAGCCTCGACCTCCGCTTTCCAGGACCTCTCTTCGATGTCTTTGCGGCCAGGCCTTGACTCCAACCGTTTCACAGCGATGACCGACCCGTCCTCGAGGACACCCTTGTACACGATTCCAAACGACCCCCTTCCAATGATGTTGGTGCCGTTGAAGCTGTCAGTGCCCTTTTGCAGTTGCTTGAGAGTAAAATGCTCCTGACGAGGTTTGGAGACCGGGTGCTGGGGTGTTGTTTTCCCTAGCGTTTCGTCCTTGCCCCCTTCCTCCAATGTTGACTGTAGGCTTGACCTACGTTTCTTTTGCCGGTACAGGCAGAATAAGCTCAGGGCTGCAAGGGCCAGAAGAAGAGCTGCTCCAGCAAGAACCCCGCCTATGACGGGGCCAATAGTACCAGCAGAATCGGGTGTTGCCAAGGCTGCAATGGTTGCACGAGATCAAAAGACATGAGCCACACCTGCTGGAGTTTTGCCAAGAATTTCTTAAAGAAAACCTTGTACAACCTCGCCTGAGCAGGCGCCCAGTCAAGTCTTCCATCAGGAGAGGCAAAGGATAGAAGGTGGCGACTTAGACCAGAACTCGGGTTTTTGCAAACAATTAACATAGTTCTAGCTCTTACATAAGCACAAAGATGCTGCTCTTACCCGGAGCAGGCCCTGGGATAGGGGCAATAGCAGGGGCAATTGGGCGGGCTGTCCCTGCAAGCACGAGCGAAGCACGACTTACATGTGGTGTGTTACAGGCATATGGAAGTGCTCATTCCCTCGGATCTCGTGAATTTCAATCAAAGAGGAGCGCTCGAGCAGTGTTGTGCGCTGTCTCTGTGACTAGGTCATAAGGGCTGATGACGCTAGAGCACCTTCTTACCCGTGACTGCAACAAGGTTACAGTAATTTAATTCTCAAACGCAGGTCCCATTTTAGGAGTCCAGCAGGATTCTTCAGGAGACTTCGCTAGGTCACTTGACTCACACATAAGAGCCCAAGACAAGCCCACGCAAAGGAATAGCCGTTTACCTTCTGTAACAAAAACATTGCCAATAACCGGCCCATTCCCCTCCTGAGTCAAGGACGTGAAGACCAAGGTTGTGGCGGACGCGGTCGCCACGAAGTCAAACACCTTAGGCAGGTAGCCCATCTGCTCCACAGTCGTATTGGTGATGTCAAAAGTGTAGTTCTGGGTGGCCCCGGCCTTCGAGACCTGGAGCGTTTTGATGGGAGAGCCGGTAGGAGTGCCCGCCAGGTAGAAAGACACGGTGTAAGAGGACCCAGGCGTTGTGACAAAATTCTGAAAAGACAGAGGGACAAGGGTTCAGTGGTCTACATGTCCGGCCTTCAAGTACTCAACAAAAACTGCGGCTCTGGAAGCAGACAGAGAGTGACCAGATTTTTGGCTCCAAAAGCGACCGGTTCTTAACTTTTCTCCTATTCACAAGCCTAGTATGACAAACTTTATTTCCTGCCAGGGAAACTCGCTTCAAAGCTTCTAACTTTGAACCAATGCAGGCAGATCGTCCGAGGAAGTATGGCAACTCCTTGATCTTACACTGACCAAAGCGATGGCGCTCTCAGCCACTTACCACTGGTTTCCCCCCGACCATCAGACAAGCGAGTGACCGACTCTGTTCCAACTGCTTGTAACAGAGGAGAAGCTTTCAGACTCTTTGTGTGTCTATGAGAGTCTGTCTTTTTGCCACAGAATTTATGGCAATTGATGGCAATCCAAGAACCGAAGGAACCCATACTAACAGTGCTCGCAAGTGACTGACCTGCTGAATGGACCCTGCCTCGTTTCCGGAGCAGTCGAGGCTGTACGAGGCACCAGGAGGCGCTTGCCATTGCCTCGCAGAAACATAGTCAACGGTCCCAGCAGTAATAACCCAGCCAGGAATGACGTCACGTGAGCTGAACGTTGCGTAGCCGCCGGAGTTTAGAGCAGAAAACCCGGGGAGGGCAAAGTCACCATTTGTGAAGGTAGGATCTGGAGAGGAGCACGGAAGATAAGTAAAGAAAACCAAACAATTGATAATCTGGTGGGGCACTTACAAGGGGGGTTGCCCTAACCAACTCAAAAGCTTGAAAAAAGCTCCGAAAAATTCCAAGGATTCATCAATGCACCAAGCCCTCCTGCCCAAATTCCGGAATCTTCAACTGCCGGCAGTGGTCAAATACGTTGAATGAAAACAAAATGCACAGGCTGCTGGCTTCCTTCCTGTCGAACTTTCCGGAACATGTTTCTCATCATCGGCTTTGGATGGGTGCTTCCAATCCCCATGGGACATGAGGGATGTCCCTCCACACCAACAGATTACAATTACACAGTAAAGACAAAGGCGGCATATGGGTATGACTGCAACAGCTCCTGTCACATTTTGCCTCACCAAGTCAAGGGGTTCCCTAAGAGTCAATGTTGGACCTTTTGAACGGCCACGGCCTCAGAGTGCAAGGACTACCTCTTTCTTCCCGTAGAAAGCTGGTACTTCTCAACCAATGTTCCTAATTCACACAAATGTGACACAAATCTGCTCAACTTAAGTCCATGAGGGCCCCAAATGCTTCTTGAATAACCTACCGCCGCTTTCCTGAATCTCTCTTTCAGGACCATATGCCTAGAAAGTATGTGCAGGTACTTGCTTCAACACACTTTCCCACCTTATAATAGGGTCCGTTCTCCAAGATGTGACCTTCCCTGGACTGATGCATTAAATGCAGTTCACAACTTTCAGATCCTCCTGATCAAAACACCAACTTGTACCTTTCTTAACCCAATGTATTCAAGTTTGACATCTCTTTAACCGCAGGGACAGAGAAGTGAGTCATGTCTGTGCACGAGAATGCCAACTTTCATTAGTGTCGTCCCAGTCTTCGCCCCAGGGCTGTCATGGCTCCCGCTGCTAATGGCTATCCTATCTGCTGCACCAAAAAGCCATAATTGAGCTTTTCAAGAGACCTGGACAACTAAAGGACGCCAGGATAGGGAACTTACTTGCAATCTGGAGAAGTGACCTGGGGGCAGCAACTGCATGCACATATAAACTGTATTTAACAGAGAATCCACATTCCTTGAGAAGCGGTTTAAATCCCTCACAGGCGGATTTTCTTTTCTGCTTGTCACCCACGATCAGCCAACAATGCGGAAGGGAATTTAGGTAAGATGGGGCATTTTTTTTTGGATATTTTCAGTCACCTAACACTCTTGCAATCTATTCAATCCTGCCAGATCAAACACATTCAACCTGGTAAAGCTGTGTGTGATCATTATGAGGCCCTCACTACAGCGTCAGATACAAACATATGCAGCTCCTCCTCATCACTAGGGTGAGGATTCGTGGCTGTCTGGAGATCTAGCTGCCAAGGCCACTTACCTGAGGAGCAGACAAGCGCCAGGAGTAATAAAAGTGCAGTGAAGACTGCCATCAAGCTTGCTTGATAAGCAACTTCTTGGCATTCAGAAGGAGGAGTGGCGCCAATTGCCTAAAACCGCAGTAGATCGACTGGTCCCTGCAAATTCAACTACAGTTGGAGGGTGGAAGAGATTGTGAGATTTGCCCGCCATAATCTGGCCCTGCCGTTGCGAAAAGCAGCTTTGGAGAGGACGGATACCTAACCAAAAACTGAAGCACAAACTCAAATCTGCCAGCACATGATGTCTCTGAGCGAAATTGCTTCTCGTTTGTAACAGAGGGAGAGCGCTGAAGGTTTCACTGGGTGACCGTGATGCAACCCAGACTCACGGCCCGTATCGAGAAAACCTCTCGTAATGCCATTTCGGTTTTACGAGCAAATCGATAGATCCGTATCGAACAAATTCATCGTATTCGGCGGCGCCGTATTGGAAGATTTGCTCGATACGCAGAATGCCGTAATAATCGAGACATTTGCTCGATTTATGGACCGCGGTCCTTCCAGGTCTTCCGTAGTTTCAGGGGACGGGGGCCGGTTCGGACGATCTCCGCCGTCGATCCAGGGTGACCGCTGCGACCCACAAGATCGGTCCACATGACCGCCAGGATCGCGGTACATAAACGATCCCCTAGACTAGTAGTTTAGGGACCGTGGCACCCGAGTTGCAACCGGGCCCTCCCTGTGACATTAGGGTCTCGCGGGCAACCTGTGAATAACCGGGCAACCCCCTGGGACAACCGGGCCCTCCCGCCGTAGGGTTACACCACTGCGAGTGGCAACCGGGCAAGTACTTTCAGTTTTAGTTTGTGCCCGGGGCATAAAAAATTCGAAACTTTTCCCCAACAGGCGCTACTTGAAAACGAGCGAGTTGATCGATACCCGGCCGGCCGTATCGAGCAATTTGTTCAATATGCTTCTGCTGGCAATATGAGAGGTTTTCTCTATACGGGCGTGAGTCTGGGTTGGCTGATAAAGGTGTCTTGCGGTTCAAAATTGGCTCTAAACTAGACTGTCAGCACACTTTGTGCTTCACCAACCGATGAACGGCACAAACGTACCACTCAATTTGCGCCACGTGTCCCCCCCAGCCCGGCAAGAGTGCGACGCGACAGGTCGCTTGGCATGCCCAGCAGGGCGCCAGTTTCCGAACCCGGATTGAGTGGGTGATGTTACCGTCAAAGAACATTGTACCGGTCGGGGCGTTTTTTTGAGCGGAAATGGGGTTTCGGGGTCGCCGAAGGTGGCCCCGGGGGCCCTCACGGGGCGAAGCCCCGGGTCAGGGGGGGGCCGAAGGCCCCCTCACCGAAATGAACAGCAAGACCTTGCAATAGGGTTTCAGGCCTCGAAACCCTAAATGTTAGTACTCCACGATCATTCAATGGCATCAGAAAGGACCAACCGCATAACGCCACGTGTCCCCCGCTTCGATAGGATTCGCTGCCGCGCCGAAAGATGGTCGCCCCGAAAGCCTGCAGGTCAGGCCAGAGGTTCGGCCCTGACCACCACAACCAGTTATGAGTTTTGCAGTCCGGACGAACAAGAGTCGCCGTCCGACGGCGAGCAGCGCGCAACTAGGCGGTTGCAAAACAAAAGTTCTGCCTGACTCAGCAGCCTGGCTTTGGACAGACTTTGACTGCACAGACTTTTTTTCTGGAAGAACCCAATCTTAACACGCCAACTCAGCACTGTTTCTGGAAGCACCCAATCTTAGAAGGTTCTAGCTGAGCCTGCCCCGGCCACGTGAGCAGGCTGCAGGCCACGTAAGCAGGCTGCAGGTTTTTCGGACGGTCTGGGCTGGCCGGAATATAAGGTATAAAAGCTCAAAAACTCTCTCATTTCATTCATTCCCAAGTAGAGCACCTACGGTTCTCAACCTCCCAAATCTTGTCGCATTTTCAGTAACACACCGCGAGTTTGGCTTAGTCGCTGACTTTTGGCCGCCGCCGCCGCCGATTAGGGGAATTTTTCGGCTCAAAACCGAGCAATGTAGCTAGGCTAGGCTACTGCCAGTGAGTCAGTGAGTCTAGTGAGTCCGATCGAGCCCCCCGCAACGCGCCGTTTTCCCGAGTCGATTTTTAATACAGACCGTCGATCGCGACAAATTTTATCAATCGACTAGGGGTTTCGGACGCGGCCCCGTCCGACCAGTCTCCCCAAGTAATATCCGTCGTCGTAAAGACCCGGTGGTAGTCTAAACAGTCAGCTAGATTACGGTCATCATTTTTTCAAGAGGCCACAAGATTCAAACCGAGTTGCTCGTATGCACGCATAGGATCGCGACGCACATGATGGAGCATGAAGCAGCGAAAGCAACGGGCCGAGACCGGGGCCGAAAACGCAAGCTTAGTGGCGAGCAAAACGAAGAAGGGGCGACGAGCGAGCAAACAGCAAGTGGTTCCGGAGTAGTGGCCGCGGCTATCAACATCAGAACGCCCGAGACACATGATGCTAATGTAAGATTGGCAAGCATTAGGGAACTTAGCATATGCATGCTGATGTGTTCTGCAGGTTGTGAATGACGTATATCGCACGGCACGTGTGAGGGGTGGCTTTTCTTGACACAATGTGCCATGCTTCAAGTGTACCGAGATCTTGAGGGATCCGCAAGCACCCTTCGAGCTGGCCGCCGGGCGTGTAGTTCAGTGCAGATCTAGCACGACGCTTTTGAATTATGCTTCTTTGGACGGCCTCAGGCTGCTCGTGGCACTTGTGTGATCTATTGACACGAGTGGCCTTGTGCGGCAAGTCTACCTTTCTCTCGAAAACACTTTGCTACAACCTGATAAGCGGTTGTGATGAAGGAGATTGCGATTCTGCGTGCAGCAAGTCCTCAGGTCTCAACCGCAACAATCTCAAACCGCTGCCTAAACGCAGGATTCGGACGATTCGAACAGTTCCGGGAACCAAGCATCATCGTTTGACGGTGATGATTGCGAAGGTGCTGACGACGAGACCTCCGAGTCGGACGAAGAGGAAACTGCATCGGACCGGGAGTTGCTGGACGACTGCCCTCAGCAGGTCGACTCTGCGCACGACCACCGTCTTGCGGACCAAGAAAGAGAGATCAGATCGAGCGACATGGTGAGTTCGACCTGATCCTTGCTGCTCCGTCCTTGCAGGTTCAGTGCTTCTTATGTGGTCAGCCTGAAGCGG